CATACACTGTTTCTACTTCGAAACTTCCGACGAAATAAAACAGTATTTAACTTGAATTGAAACCGTTAATAGATGAAGGTTAATAGGGGTAAAGAAAGATATTTTATTGGTTTAACAACAATTTATTGATTTTCAAGAACATCTGCGATCCGTCAAGGAAGTTAATTGTCTTGTTTATTACCCTATTTTAACTTCGTCTTGCGTACAATGCCCGGACTACATCGTTTGTCGTATCATTTAACGGATTTCGCTTGGGTATGCCGCAAAACCAGTTCCTGGTACTAATTTCCAATGGTAATGTAACCGCAAAGATAGAAGATTTTCTCTTAAGAAATATTACATGAGGATTTAAAGGATTTGTGTTGGCATATCGAGTTAACTTGAGTTATATAACAACTACGTTTTTAGTTTTTTTACTAACTTCCTGGCAATATCAATAAAGTTATATCATATGAATCAAATCTAGTTAATATCTTATAAAATTTATCAAGAATCTATCAAAATATATTAAATGGCCGATTTGTTCATCGTTTGACGTAGATAATTATTCATCAAGTAAATATTACATGAGATGGAAATTAATTTCTTAGCGTAAATTATTCACCACATAATTATCTAGAAAATATACTTGGTTATGCTGTAAATATAAAACACAGCTAACGTCATTTATATTGAAATATATAGGTATCTGAGTTATTTATTTATTCAAATGGAATTTAGTTATTGTCAGGTGTTGTAAGTTCGTTCACTGCTACATACAGAGTACAAATTTTTCTCCGATTTATTTGAGTTATTTTACTTTCTCAATTGATGGTTTTAATTTTGTAGAATAAATTCAACTTTTTCTGAGAATAGCTGATGTATAAAAATTCAATGTTAAGTGCCCCATGAAAACTTTTTCTCCTTGGCTTATCGTGTGAACTAATACAATGCAATCTCTATCTATAAAATCACTGTATAGAAACAATATTAATGTATGTAAACTTTTCATTAATTCATAATATCTTGAAGTTTCAAACTTTGCTGACTATCGTGCCGATTTTAGTGAAATGAAATAAATATCCAAGTTTTTTTGTTTAATGAGTTTAGTTGGTTTGGTTCCATTTTTTGTACTACTGAGGAATTTATCTGCCACCAAGGCGTCCTTATTCCCGATAAGGAGATTGAAATTAATGAGACCATGGTGTTATGGAGAGATAGGCTCGTATTGTGCTAATGTCTTCCTGTAAAGTCACCCAAACCCGGCGCGCGAATCTTTTATGTATGTTTAATGTCTTAATGTTATACTTATGGCATGGAAATTTATGCTTGAAAAACAATATTGCACCAGCGTTGATAAATGAATTAAAAAATCTATACTGAAATGATAAATATAGATACAAAAATGTCAAAAACTTCAAGGATTGTGGAAAAAATCTATACGTGAATGTAAAATTGTAAAAATCTTTTGGACTGCAATAAATGTATATGGAACGTTGAGAATTAATTGTAGAAAAAGTTTTCAATCTACAGAATTTAGATGGAATCCTAGTAATAAAATGGCAAGATAAACGTCCAATAATAATGATAAGTTATGTGCTATACATATAATACTGCTCAGACTGGAAATAAAGATCACAATACCCGGTTCATTTTGTTTCCGTTCATTCATCGAGTGTGTCTATTCTGTTGCTTGCTTGGCTTGGTTCTTTTGTTTTTTCTTGGATTTCTTGGGCCCCACCATTGGTTTTTCCTTTTTTTCGGTTGGTTTGGCGTTTTCGCTTTTTTCGTTGGGGTTGGATTGACGGGGTTGGGTTGCAAAGTTGGTTGTTTTATTCCGTTCCTTGGCTTGGTTTGTTCCTTGGAATGGTTGCTTTGCCTTGTTTTGATTACTGTACTGGGATACTACTGGAATAATGTGAACCGGGCATAAGGGAGAAGATGTGTGTGTCTGAGAGAATGTTTTGCATTCGAGTATGATAGGTGAATCCGCCGAATACTTTTGTATATCTTGTCATCTCTTGTTATCAACTTCCACATCTATAGTAAGAAAATTTAAAGAAGTTTGCGACAATGTATGCATGTCGCATTAAAATTCATACGTAACTCTGTCATGATTCGAGGTTGTCACAAGTCTGGGTGTACCTTTAATAACTTTACATTAATTAAAATGGTATTTATGTTTAAATTGTAAATATCGTACATGAACATTTCGTTGAAGAAATAAAGATTATTAAGCAATAAGATAGTAAAGGGTAAAAAAGTTTTTGTATAAAGTGGTCGATGGCCTCGAACAATATACACGTCGAAAATGTACAAGATAAGGTTTGTGCGGTTTTTACGATAAGCTTCGAGTCACTTCCGAACAAGAGTCATCGTTTAGGACATGTTCAGGAAATGCCAATGTTAAGGAATTGGTTTTTATGGCCTAGATTAAATTGAAAACAACTAAGATAGTGATTCATTATACTTAAACCACTTCTTGTTAAATTTATCCAATAGTTTACCAATGAGAGAGCTTAAAAGAGCTGGAACCACGATTTCTAACAATCTCCTGGATAATTTAACAGAAACATCCTTGTTTCTTATATGAATTTAGTTTCTTTTTGTGCAATATTTTTGATTTTTAAATTGTTTGCTTATTTTACTAGTTAATTTAGACGTTATATTTTCATCAGATTTTCCATCAGATGGTTCCAATAAATATTAAACTTCAGGCTTTAAATTAAGTTTGCCCAGTGGCGTCCGCACAAAATTAATCCTAAACGTTTATTACCAAAATATTTAAAAAGAAAAATTTATAACTTCTTTACTGTTATGTCTTAGAGTTTATTCGCTTCAATATTTTTTTTAGTGAACCATGTTAATTCTTTCGAAAGTACTATTATTTAATTGTCTACTATGAAATTTTCATAAGTAAATTTGCAGTAATGATGAAGTTATAACGTGTTGTAACTGATCGTGTGTGCAACGACTCGTGTTTCGAAAAGTGGGTATACGCATTTTGCAAATGAAATTTGCATAATCTTACACAGTAGATTAGTCGTTACCCGATTGACTAGACGAATAGCTGTATCGAAATTAATCGTTGTTATTGCAAAAATATTACAAAAATGGAATGATGAAACAATTCTCGAATGAAATATCAGAAAAAAAATTAAAAAAGAAGAGGAAGTAACCAAAAAATGAACATTAAGTGGAACAAGAGATCAAGCTCGTCAGGTTCTTCACTTCTTGGTGTTTAATGCAAAAGGCTACAAAAGGATTGTAATCAAGCTCAGTTCAAGATGTTTGTCATGATAACGTTGTGTTGACGGATTGACACAAAATAATAACGAAAGTAGCAATAAATGCATATACAATGGAAATTGAAAAAAAAAAGGGAGTTGCGCACATCGTAGGGCTGAATGGTGTGCTGCTGTAATAGAGATATAAACTTTGTCATATTGTAATATTTGATATTTTTGTTCGATGTTATAATTTATATTCTGCCTGCCATATATCTGGATAATCTCAATAGGTGTTTTGATGCTTTAATCGTCCTGGTCAAAAATTATAAATTATTGTTAATGGAGAACTCAATTTTTATGAATTTGCTAATAGCTGTAATAGTTCCTTATTTTGCGGCTAAACCAGCTAAGTCTTGTGCTTATTAAAATACAATTTAGATGTGTAGAGGAGGGGTGTTTAATGCTGATCTTTCATTTTTATCTCATATCCCTACGATATGTTCGAGTCTACGCCCTCACTGTTACACATCATGCATAGATCGGTTAATACCAACACTTTATACCCTGTTATGGCGCTAATAGTATTTCACCTGCAATATATATATCTTCATTGATGGAGGAGGTATATCATCGTTTCTTGATATATCTTTGCAGCTATATTGACTTGCTACAACGGCACAATTTTATTTGCCTTATATCTCGGAGTACAATTTATTTGGAGATGATGATGTAGGTTGCTTTCATGTGTTTTTATGCTGGTATTGGTATTTTCGAATATGAACTGTTTACTTGAATACTAGATTCCATACAAAAATATTAAAATTTTTACTCACATATGTGCGTTAAAGGGTAAAATATCAAGAGTTACCAAGAAAAGGTGTTACATTTAAAAAATACCAGGACAAAACTCGTTTATTTTCGCAACGCACACAATAAACCCTAGATGGTTAAAAATTCTCTCACGCTCACGTTGTATATTTCTTTATCGTGTTGAAAACGTGACGTTATGTAACGAGTTGTACGTATAAAAAAAATGATACAATATCACTTTGTTTTTTCGTTATTAAATTTTCCACGAAATTTCATAATCTTGATTCATAGAAGCATTTTTTTTAATTTTTCCGCAACGCCTTCATGGAATAATAATGGGAGTTATTTAATCTATATTTATTATTATTAAATACATAGTCGGTAAATGCCTTTTTGTAGTTGTGATTATAAGGTAAGTATTTGTGGAGTAAACTTTGTTCCACGTAATATCTGTCGGTGTGACTTCTTAACATAGGAGATTTCAGATTGTGTTGGCTCAAGATTACAGGTATTGCATTATGCAAATATCCATATGTACTTCACAGTATTATGATGTCAATAACCCTGGTGGCAAGCTTACGCAAGATTCGCATAAAATAAACATTAAAGTCTCCAGCGTAAAAGTTGTAAAAAACGACAACAACTTTCTAAACTAATTACCACCATTTGAATTTACGGTGACCATAAAATTTAAATATCTTCTATCTCTCCTCGATTATAATCGTAGTTCCATTCCTAACTTATTTATTGATAAAAAACTAACTCATTTTGTACGCAATGAACGCGCAAATATTATAATAGTCGGGGTATTATCAGTGAGTAAACGGAAAAATACGCGTAAAAAGACAATTATTGGATTTTTGTGGCGATCTCGGTAAAACATTTTTTTTTCCTTTGTAATGGGCGTAAATGGATATTCACGATTCTACCGAACCAGTTAGTTTTCCACGAAACATTAACGACAATTCTCTTTGTTTGCAGCACTTTAGTTCATTGGAAGCATTTCCGAGCGGAGTTAAACCGGGTCCATCCCATCAGTTCGGGGCTGGAAGCTATGGCTTTGAAATCTACAATAGACTTGACCTGTAACGATTACATATCCAATTTCGAATTTGATGTCTTTACAAGGTAAGCATTAAAAAAATTTAACCAGATCAAACAACATCTTTATATCTTCTTTATCAATCAACTGACGTCATCACCTTAATCCACACACATCAGATACACATATAAACCTGTTTGGATTCGGAAAAACGAGCGCGTGTGGGCGGTGTACTTCCTGACCGCGCCGCACAAAGATTTATGTATTTTGGCAACCTTCGGTAGTAAAAAGGTCGTAATCGCGACTACTGGACAACGTCGTTCTCGCGATCTAAACCGTTTCTCCTTGCTTCTTTTTTGGGGTCGCGCCAATTTACAATACAACATTGAATGGACGGAAACGAGGGCGCGCGCACACTCATCATTCTTGTACTCTCTCGAACACCTCGCGTTCTTAAACACTCTTTGAATATTCAAGCCGTAGTCGACAAAGACTCTGTTAAATAATTAATGAAGTTAGGCGTTAAAAAAAACGAACAACGAATACTCGATGGTATGTCACATCTATTGTGTGACCTTAAAATGTACTGGAAGATTTTTATAAAAAATACGGTTGTATACTCATTACTAAAAACATCCAAGTTTTCAAGATCATCATATTTCAACATTTTTAGATTGTTATAATTTTCCAATAATATATTTTGAAGGTGTATGATGTTTTGTATGAAGATGAACAATCTAAATATACCATCTGGTTATGTACCTTGAGTTTTAGATGAAACTAAGCCTTTTTGTGACTAACAATACAAACTGTAGGATGTGAGATAGCCTTCTTTTTAGGCGTATCCCTATCAGAGATTTTAACCGACATTTTGCTAAGGGCATAAAATGTTATTGCCGATATGTAGTATAAAGTATTAACATCTTATAATGGTTCACAACATTTTCAACAGTTTAGGTAACTCAACTTTATCATTGATTGGTAATTTAATAATTCTTCTGATTGTAATTCACCAAATACAGATGATTTTTGCAGTTTGTTTCAGAAGATATTCCAGCAATTTTTTGTTGTCCTTCGATTCAAAAGTTCAGTTACTGATTTTGCGCGTTGGCCATTTCCTACGTGCAAAATTTGCGAGCTTATACCGCTTGTTACCATCTTCAAGGATTAACTTCTCACATTTGTACCTTCTTGCACATCTCATATAGCAAACTCATCATTTACATTCACCTGGAGTTCAAGCAAGTAATGCCGACCAATTTTTCGTAGCTGTATAAAAAGTTGAGTACTATCTATATCTTGTCAAATAACATAATTCAGATTTTTACCTCCAGAGAATAACAGTAAGATCGTCAGCATAACGATAACAGTTATTCATAGGAGGTCTCACAAAAGTAATGCCAGTACACTATATTGATTCTACATTTAAAAGCACTCTCTATCCAACCACAGAGATCGGATTTACTAGAAGACCTTTCTGAAAAAGGTGCTCGTTCATAGAGAGAAGAGAATGTTGATTAGGATTTAGTTACGATGACTATTCTTTCAAAGTTTTTAATAAAAGTGAGGAAAGTCTGGTTAGAAACCGACAGACTTCGAAAGGAAGTAATGTACCGAATTTCCCAACCAGATATGCCAGCAACTGAGAATGTTGCGAACCGACAGGTGATCTTGAAAGATTCCGTCTATGTTGTAAATCAGCTCTTTGAATGTTTAGGAACCTGATTACATCGTATCCAGCAAATATAATAAACTGTACATATTGTTTCATATTTAGTCCTTGCAAATATCTTTGTGTCTCGCTAAATAGCTGTAGAATCTGCCGAACGTAGAAAGTGCAGTTTTGATAGAAGCTTTCGAAAAGGTGGCATTGTAGCAATAATACACCATAATCTTTATTAAGCGGATTCGTAGTTCTGAGTTTCAAGGCAGAACCCTCAAGAGAGAGAGAGGTCGCTAGTTCTCTATAGAACCTTCTAAAACCTTTTTCCGATGAAACCTTTTTTTCAACTTCTAGTTTGTTTGTATAGCTGCTCTAGTCAAAGTCTTATTTACAGCTTTTAGCTGTGTTAAGGGCATCTCTACCTGTCTTTTGAGGTTGCCACGCATAGGTGGCAACTGATTCGGCCATTTTCGAATCTAAGCGAACACCTTTTTATAAGAACGATTCGATCAAAGTGATTGAACATTTCTGAACTTCAGCTAATTTTGAGCAGTTAACCTTAATTTGTTCTCACACCTAGATAGCTCTGCTTTGATTTTTAATACCTACATCGAAAGTGATCTGTCATTGAAAACGAGGTCTGATAAAAGGAATCTGATATTCCTTATAATTGTGGGTTACTTGGGAGATAGCCATTCAAATCAGAGTAGTTCGATAACTGATGAAGGAGATCAAGATTACTGCTGAATGTAAAGTCTAAAAGTGACCTATCCCTTGTGTTATACTCAGTAGATGTCTTAAAAGAAATAGAGTTCGCATTGAAGTCGAAGCTTATGACGAAATTTCAGTAATCTGATTTAGTGTCCTCAGCTAGTTTCACCAATACATTGGAAGTATATGCAAAGTAAACTGAAATTAATCTTTGTTATTAACCTTCTCTTGTTATGATACAAGGTAAACCTTGACGTGTCTAGGCACAAAAATATTGTGACAACAAAAGGTGGCAGTGCACTTTTAGAACAATTTTTTAACAGATCTTTTGCATTTTTTTTCCTGTAATAATAATACATGATTTATTCCGGGCATGGCGCTTTAACTATATTGTGAGCCTTTCCTACTTCAAACAAGATCTCGCGTTCCATGTTCTAATTTATACTATGTTTTTATTTTGATTTTCCACTTTCAGGTGTTTCAACGCTGAGATTTTTTGCACCGCTTGCCCATCTAAGGATTGTTGCGGACTAGATGCCAAAATATGTCTTTGACCTGCCATTTTTGCTTTCTTGGAAAGTTCAAAATAAATTTTTAATACAGTGGTTTCCTCTTGCCTTCTGTATCTATATACCGTTGCTCACGTCTTATTTTTCGATGAACTCATCTTATGGACACATCCAACCATCTATTAACCCAGTATGAAGATGAAGCAGATGAAGAGAATCATTCTTTTTCATCCATTCAACGTCTCTCTAAAAAGCTTGAGGCTACCACGACTAAAATAGGAATCATACTCTCTTCGTCAAATCAACTTTGGTTTTGATCAATTTCTTTGATGATGTTTAACATTACGTCATCTGAAGCGTAAATTGTTGAAGGCGATTTATAACAATCTTCTTCCCAACCTGTTAATCGTTTGATACAGATTTATTGTTAACTCGATCTTAATTTGACCTCATTCTTCATCGTTAAGTTTTCACAGCTTAGCTTTGTTGGGTTTTTGGGCCTTTACTGGCCGATTTAACCGATCAGCACAGGTTTACATAAACGTGGTGGACTATTACTGTTTGGATTGTACCCTCGTCTGTCCGCAGATGCGGGCGTCAACCACCTTCCTATGTTGCGGAATCCGGGTTGGTGCTAGTCCGGAGAAACCGTCGGCAAAGATACCTGCTCTGTTTACACTTTCTATAATGGTGAACTTCCGTGAAATATGCGATATGGAAGCTGTCGGTTCCTGGGTTGAATTCTTATAAAATTGGGGGGATCGTGCGCTGAAAGTGACGTTTGTTTCTTAGGGTATCAATAATAAGACATTTATTACTAAAAAGTTTTTAGTAAAAACTGAACAAGCTTGTGTTTTCTGTCTGTTCCAGATTTGTTCTTGATTGCGCTCCTTCTTTCTTTGATTAATTAATTAATAATAATAATATTATTGTCTTTTCCTTGGAAACTCAAATTAAATATTTACTATTTTCAAGGAAATGTTTCAGTATCGAAATTAAATTTTCTCTATTTCAGTTTGATTGTAATTTGACAGTTATCTAACTAAAATGAAACTCTTTAAGACTTATTCCAATTTAATTTTGTTCTAATTCTTCCTTAAAATGCACTAAACAACCTACCATACGGTTTTGTTTTTGAAATACTTCGCTATGTAGTGTTCCCCGTGATTTATGCAGACTGGCGAGAATCGTTTAAAATTTAGGATCCTTATTTGAAAGTCCAATGAGACCTTGCTATTTCCCTATCATTGCACTCCGACGGTCGCAACACCTACATGTTTATTATGAAGCATTTGAGTGTCTTTATTACTTCATCAAGTGTATTTCTAAGATGACACGAGTTGTTTTGATAAATAAAAAGTACAAAATTCTCTTTATATGTATTTGAACAAATTTTATATGATGGAACGATTTTTTGTTTCGTATATATCATCACATAGCTATAATTATTTCAATGAATTTTAGGTTCGTTGATAAATTTGTTAGATTTTGATAAAGTTAAATATTTTGAAGTGCACCGTTTCCAAATTTAGAAAACGGCGTAAAAGCGTACGTCAGAGAATTAGCGCTCGAGGTTGGCTCCGTTGGTCGTTTTCTGGTTAACATCACTGGTAATTTACGTGCAACGGTGAATTGTTTAATTAATGGTCTCCGTTCGCTATAACCGGGAAGTATCATATTTTATGGATAATCTGCGAAACGTCCGTAGCAAACAGGCGGCGATCTGCTGCCCACAACGCGGGCACGAGGAGCACAACTCTCGTCCCGTTCCTAAAAATAGAACCTGTCGATGAAAATAGTGGCCGGTCGTCGACTCATTTTATCTGATCTGCTTCTTCCTCCCGTCGTCCTATCAGCGGATTAACGAGAAGCTTCGCGCGACCGCTGTCGCCGCCGCCAACAGTCGTCGTAATGAGAGAGGAAGTCGCGTTTTATTCCTATCTCTCGGATTGCCGCGAATGAATGATGTTTACTCATCGTTGTCCTCCCAACTGAAGTATTTATGTCGTTTACAATACTTAAATCAGTTTCCTCTTCCTCTTTCGAATAAATAACCTTTCATCAAATACTTTTAATAATAATTTCCTTTCATTAAATTTCCATAAATTACAAAACGAAATTAATAATAATACAAAATATATTAATGACATAAATCATGTTTAAAATTGGACTCGATTATAATTTATACATTAATTACGTGTAGCAACAATTTTGGAAACCGATAAATTAGCCTCGAGTTGGCGTTTTTAGGGTAATAAAATTTATTTATTCCAATTAATGGTATCGAACAAAATAAAAATACAAATTCCCTCCTTTCTATTACATTATGTATGTAAATTTTATATCGGTTTTGTATTACGAATCTATCAAACGACACTTTAATTATCTAAACTTGTACTAAAATAGAAATTACTAATTCAATTGTATTCCAAACATAGTCTTCTGACCCAGATGCACTAACATCACACCCAACCCAACTCTCCCGCTCTTTTTCCATCTATAATTATTGACCTCGCCTGATTATAAATTTTAATTTACTCTAATTGAACTTTAACGTAAATGTCAAAACGTGACGGCGACGGCCGGGATTTCTCTTAGATAACAGAACCCGTATTTCTTCTAATCTAAGACGAGTATCTTCACGTCGTTTCGAAAATAATGTTGACAGAATTGATGTTCTTGTACTTTTCAGACTGTTTCAACCGTGGACGACCCTGCTGCGCAACTGGCAGATCCTAGCTGTGACACATCCGGGATACGTCGCCTTCTTAACCTACGACGAGGTGAAGGCGCGCCTTCAAAAATACATCACCAAGGCCGGCAGCTATGTCTTTAGATTGTCTTGTACACGACTTGGTCAATGGGCCATCGGGTATGTTACACCCGATGGGGAAATCTTACAAACGATTCCGCAAAATAAAAGTTTAATTCAAGCACTTTTAGATGGTTATAGAGAAGGGTTGTAAGTAAATTTATTTAAATTACAGTTTTAAGAATAAATTTTAAATATTAATAAATAAAATAAATTTTTTTAATAGTTATTTATATCCCGATGGAAGAGTGGTTAATCCTGATTTATCATGGGCTGTGCAACAAACACCAGAAGATCACATCGCGGTTACTCAAGAACAATACGAGCTCTATTGCGAAATGGGTAGTACGTTTCAATTATGTAAAATTTGTGCTGAAAATGATAAGGATGTTCGGATAGAACCATGTGGACATCTTTTATGTACACCGTGTTTAACAGCTTGGCAATATGTACGTGAAATCAAAATACAGTAAAATCTCGATATAACGGGTTAATACGGGAAAGGTACATGAAAAATTTTTAATTTGCACTTTAAACTGGTTGAATGAATAATTTTAATGCACACAAATTCGAACAGCTATACACACGTTGCGTTCTTTATTACTTAGTTCTACTTTTAGTTTAATAAAAATATACAGGAATCTAACGCTGACTAACAACTAAAACTAGGGATTATTTCTTCTCAGAAACTGCAGCTTGATACCATGTTGATACAGAACAAGACGATTTCTATAGATAATTAGCATTTTTTGACAGTATTGCAATACACGTAGTGTCTTATTGGTGTTAGTAGACATTGGCCAGTATAATTACACACATTTTCTTGCAGTTTGTATCCCAAGAAGTCAAAAATTTTGACTATCAAAATGCACTCACAATCAGTAAAGGCCTTTGGAATCAATTTTAGCAAAATATGTAATCCCCCCATTCCAGGGGGATAATGGTACTTGAGAGTACCATCAGGCATTAAAATATATTTTAGTGATGTTACAGTAAACAAAAACTTTTATTGCCAATATAAAAATAATAGTAGTACATTTTATTACGTTAGAAAATAAGTAACACTTGCTTTAGCTAAATCACATTATGATATTCAGAAAAACAGATCTTTCTTCATTACAACATAAATAAACATCGCACGCAGTACATTTTAAGTGGGGTCTAGTTTTGGCAGAACAATTTTCACAACTCCTCTTTCTTTTGAACTTGCGCAAGACCTTTTTGGTGGACGCAGTAAATTTGAATATTTATTTATCAGACCTGTAGCTACAGAACGACGAAAATCTGATGGAATATTGAGAAAAAACATATTGAGCAAAAACTAACATTTTCGCATAATGTAAGTGTCAAAAAAGATGCTAATTTAAAAATTCCTGGAAGCCGTGTTTATTGAAATTAAGAAATGAAACTTATTTTAAATTGAAGCTTAAAGATTTCTGTTTAAATCGATGTATAATAATCGTTGGGTTGAATTAGAAAAATATTGAGAAAAAGAGTATTGAGTTAAAACTAACATTTTCGTATAACCTAAAAGTGTCAAAAAAGATGCTAATTTAAAAATTCCTGGAAGCCGTATTTATTGAAATTAAGGAATGAGACTTATTCTAAATTAAAGCTCAATGCTCTCTCTTTAAAATGATGTATAATAATGGTTGTGTTGGATCACAAAAATGTGGAGAAAAAAAATGTTGAAATTAAACTTACATTTTCGTATAACCTAAAAATGTCAAAAAAGATGCTAATTTAAAAATTACTGGAAACTGAGTTTATTGAAATTAAGGAATGAGACTTATTCTCAATTAAAGCTCCAAGCTTTCTCTTTAAAATGATGTATAATAATTGTTGGGTTGGATTGGAAAAATATCGAGAAAAAAAATTTTGAAACAAAACTTTCATTTTCACATAACCTAAAAGTGTCAAAAAAGATGCTAATTAAAAAATTCCTGGAAGTCGTATTTATTGAAATTAAGGAATGAGACTTATTCTAAATTAAAGCTCAAAGTTTTCTCTTTAAAATGATGTATAATAATTGTTGGGTTGTATTGGAAAAATATTGAGAAAAAAAATGTTGAAACAAAACTTACATTTTCGTATAAGCTAAAAGTGTCAAAAAAGATGTTAGTTTAAAAATTCCTGGAACCCGTATTTATTGAAATTAAGATATGAGACTTATTCTAAATTAAAGCTCAAAGCTCTCTCTTTAAAATGATGTATAATAATTGTTGGGTTGGATTGGAAAAATATTGAGAAAAAAAATGTTGAAACGAAACTTACATTTTCGTATAACCCAACAGTGTCAAAAAAGATGCTAATTTAAAAATTCCTGGAAGCTGTATTTATTGAAATTAAGGAATGAGACTTACTCTAAATTAAAGCTCAAAGCTTTCTCTTTAAAATGATGTATAATAATTGTTGGGTTGTATTGGAAAAATGTTGAAACAAAACTTACATTTTCGCGTAACCTAAAAGTGTCAAAAAGGAACACTAAGAAAGCAATCTAGCTCAAATCGAAAGGAACTCATTCCTAATGGAACCCAACTCGAATCTAATCCAACTCGACGCCAATCTAACTTGAAAGCAAACCAACCAAATTATAAAGCAATCCGACCCAATCAGGAAGTAACTCAACACAACCCAATCAGAAGCAATCCAACCCAACCCGAAAGCAACTCATCCCATAAGCAACCCAACCCGAAACCGAAAGAAATAATCTCGGGCGACGTCTTCAAAGTTGGTCGAGATTATTTCTTTCAAGAAAGTTATCTAGCTCAAATCGAAAGGAATCCAACCCGAATCTAATCCAACTCAACGCCAATCTAATATGAAAGCAACCCAACCCAATCAGAAAGCAACTCAACCCAACCCAATCAGAAAGCAACCCAATCCAATCAGAAAACAATCCAGCCCAACCCGAAAGGAACTCATCCCAAAAGCAGGTCAACCCGAAATGAATCAAGCAATCTTGTTCAAATCAAAAGGAACTCATTCGATAAGGAACCCAATCCAAATCTAGAGAGATTATTTCTTACAAAAAGCTGCAGCTTAATACCGTGTTGATACAAGATAATTTCTATAGATGATTGCCATTTTTCTGACGTATTCCAATACACGCGGTAACTTTTAGTCATCCCAAAAGCAATCCAACACAGAAGCAACCCAACCAAAAAGTAACCCAGCGCAGAAGCAACCTTACCCAACTAGAAAGCTACTCAAGCCGAATACAATGCAGTATTCATTTACACCCAAATGTTTCTAGTGTTAGTGTAGTTTCTAGTGTTGGTCTAGTTTTAGTTATATGAAAAATATACAACAATCTAACTCTGAATAACAACTAAAACTAGAACTAACACTAGACCTAGAACTAAAAACATTCGAGTATAGCCGTCTTAAGAGACGTACTGCTAAACCTGAATGTTTCTAGTTCTAGGTCTAATGTTAGTTTCACTTTTAATTCAATAAAAACATCCAACAATCTAACACTGAATAACAATTAAAACTAGAACTACCGTGTTGGATTCTATTTACGAACTCTAATATTTATATTTAAATATTTTGTCCGTTATATCAAGGTTTTACTGTATTTAAATCTTCAAATTATTGCTTCTTTTCTATTATGTATTTTTTTGTAGGATTCGGAAGGACAAGGTTGTCCATTTTGTAGAGCTGAAATAAAAGGTACTGAACAAATAGTTGTGGACCCATTTGATCCGAAAAAGTCTCACAAACCGAAAAGTTCTAATTCAGGAACGGCTACTATCGATGAAGACGACTTTGAGTTAGAGGTACATGCGGCTGTCGCTTGCACGAACGAATACTCCCACTGACCTGACCTTACTTTATGTTGTGTTTGCTTGTGACAAGGGCTTTGCTTGTGTCTATAGACTCGCTTCAACTCGTGCAAGTCCTTTTTTTAAACGTAATAAGAGAAGGGATTACGTCATTTAAAAGTACGATTAAAAGAATTTATCCATGCATGATTAATTTCTTTTTTTTTTAATTCAAACTCCATTTTAATAATATTAAAAAAATAGATTTCAATAACAGGAAGTAATTTGAGCAAATTGTTATTGATGTGATGATTATTATTTTTTTAATTTTTATGTTTAAGTGGGTTTAATAGATTAGTTTTTATAAAATACAAAGACATAAGGATAATTTAAATTTAGGGAATTACTCAAAAGTATTATTAATTAAATGAATCGTTTTGTTATATTTTTAAATAATGATAAGTTCTAATTTAAGTGCAATGTGGTTAATTTCGATACATTTAATATAATTTTACAAAATCCCAAATATTAATTTCTGACTTTTTCGCCACAGTAAAAAGTATTACAATATTTATTTATTTAAGATGTAACATTCTCAGTGTAATTTAACCTTTTTTGACATTTTTTTTTTCTTTATAATAATATATCATGCGACAAACCGCACGTAAATTTATTTTTTATTTTTGATTATCCAAAGCGCACATTCTTTTTTACTCACCACGTTTCCCCACGTGAATGTTCTCGTTCCTTCGCTTTGTTATTTGTTTGTGTCCGCTTATTGTGTTATTTTGTGGTAAGTACCTCGTTCGCTTTGTGTTCGTTTTTTATATTATTTTATTTATCTTGTATAAAAAAAACATGTTTAAAGGAGTTTATGTCAACACCACTTTTTGTGATTGTGTTTAGGACGGTGGCGATCCTTGGAGTTGTTCCGGAAGTAGTTTGCAAGCCTTGGCTTTATCGCCCAGAAACGAAATGTCTGTAAGTTGTTTTTGTTAAAAATATTATTTGTAAGATGTTTTGTGATCAAATGATTTCTGCTAAAATCTCTTTAATTTAGTGAAAAACAAAAACATTTATACGTTATTATTTTTTTTTTATAGAATTCAGCAAGTCCAATGATATCACCAAGGAATAGTCCCAGATCGGTTAGAAGAAGTGCAACACCAACAGTCCCATCATCTGGAATAACACCTCCACCAATCCCACCAAGAAGAAATTCCCCAACATTAGAACAAGTAGTAATCCCAACGACTTCTCATCAAAAAAACGGATCAACAACTCACGGTTTTAAACATTTAAATGGTCTTAACGAAGCGCAATCAGTAACAAATTTGTCTCAAAACACAATTGACGTACCTCAAATAGCTAAAAGTAATTCAATGCAAGATATGCATAGAGAAGAATCGTGGCTTTTAGATAATAATACGATCGAATTGAGCTCACCAGAAACAATTTACGGTGTGGTTATTTCAAATTGTACTTCTAGTATAGCTAAGGTTCAAAGTCGACATCAAAGTTGTCCTACGAAAAATAAAAAAACGGTTACGTGTCCGGTTAAATCGAGTACAACGCCGAATTTAACGGACGATAACCACGTTTATGAAAACGTCGCACTTCAACAAAAACAACAACCGGGAAGACCCAAAGAAAGGTATAATCCTTTAACTTCAAAGGAAACTGCGTCGGTTTGTTATGAAAATTTAAATATGGACTATATTAAAAAATTGGTTAATGAGGGGTATTCGCAAGATGCTGTTATTAAAGCTCTGTATATTACCAGGAATAATGTTGATATGGCTTGTGATATTTTACATGAATTTGGAACGAAACATGGATAGTATATTTAAATGATTTCTTAGGATTTATATAAAAGAAAGAAAATTGGTAGAGTTATAAATTAATTATTTTTTTATTTTGTAGTAGAAATTGTATTGTTTAAATTTTAATGAAGTTACCAGTTTCATAATCAACTTTTGTTTTGAGATCTATTTTTATAACACTATTGTTAAAGTTTATTAACATTTATGTTGTATTTTTAATTCTTTGGTTAAATTTAGGGCACAAAATACACAAGACTTGGCTTTAAGTTTTAAAGATACTCTAATAAATGTTAGTTTAATTAGTTGATTATGAAATTGATTATAAAATCGATTTTTATTTTATTAATTTTTTTTGTTACTATATCATGTGATCAAGAATGATTGATATGTTATCATTATGTTGGTAAACATAAAAGAAATTGAGTGTTTTTAATTTGTTTTGACTCAATTATTTATAAGTTATGTTTGTAATCAAGGATTACAGTTGCATAATTTAATAATGGCACAGAAAAAATTTGTTTGATATTTTTTTTTAAACCAAGAAAATTTGAAGTTATTTCTATTTCTACAAGAAAGCTTTAGTAGTTGGAACTTTGGCGACGAATAGCTAAGTTTATTGTAATTTATATTCATTGCCCTTTCTCCGTTTTCAGCTTTAATTTGTTCTTTCTATATACATCTTCTGCAAAGATACACCTTTGTATCCTAGGAAGCACTATAGAATTGAAAACACATTTTTGAGCTGTTCTGGAAAATTTGCTATCTTATTCCCAGTCATGGTTAAAGAGCTGTTTATTTGGTGGAAAGATTCTTTTTCATTTGAACTCTTCTGTGTTTTGTGATGTCCTCTTTTATGTCTTCTCAATGTCTCAGAAACCAAGATAATTTTAAGATTTATGTCGTAAATTGTGGATAGCACGTTCAGCATTTCTATTACACAATCATGCAATCTGGAAAACACGATGGAAAATCAGTAACAATCACCGAACTTTATGGCACTGTAACTTGCCTAAGCGTCTGCTGTAAATATTGACAGTTGTTCAAAGAAATGGGGTAATATCTAAGGATTGGTTCATGGACCAGCAATTTATCAAGATACTACTTATACCATCCAGAATATACTGTTCGTTGAACTATGCTTTGTATATGTAATTACCTATTTTTCGTCTGACCTACATATTTTAATTGTAAAGATCTTCAGTCTATGTGCTTCAGGAGTCAACCATACCTCCAGTCAATATGAATGAACACTCATCTTTTTCAGTTCGTTCTCCATGTTCTCTTGGCTCTACCTCGCTTTGCCCTATTGTGTGGCACCAATTCTAAGACTCTTTTAAGTCATCATAAGTCTCATTGTCCCTAATGCACTTATGTCACTTCCAACTTCTTGCCTGGTATCAACATTCCTCACTTTATCTCTCCTTGTCTTTTTGCAGCACCTTTGCCAGTACTTCATTTCCATTGCATTCATCATCGCCATATTTCTCCTGTTTTTCACATTCGCATTTTGTGTGTTTTCTTACTCCAGAAAACGTTATTCAATCTCTTTATTATTACCTTAGCTTGACCCATTCTACTAATTATTTTCTCATTGCTATCCCCCTTGTTTGTAATTTGCAGTCTAGGTATCTATAGGATGTCACGTTTTTAATAGAGTTTAAGTCTAGAGGCAAATCTTCTCCTACTTCACTCACCACCAAGTATCTCTGGTTACTCACCTTTTCGCAGCGTTTGGGACGCACAATTGATACTGAAAATGGTATAAAACTAAACTTAATAGCAGAACATTTTTATAGGTATTTAAGTTTAAAGGTTTGGTCATCAAATGATCATGTAATGATATTTTACCTATGAAATATATTTGTAAATGAAAAACTTTGATACATTTTGACTAAACATTTGTTTAGACGTAGACAATAAACATAATTTTTTATTCAAGTATAAGCAAAGAACTTTTTCAAAAACATTGTTCATGCGTATTCTTAATTATGGATTAACTTAACGCATTGATTTTATCTTTCAATTTCCGACTTTCTATACAAAAAAACCTAAATAATAATAAACCAAAGAAACTTTGACGATCAATGTGGAGTGTGTTAAAAATTAGACGTCTATTCATGCTTTATGGGAGAATCGGCAAAAAGTTTTAACTTCTTCCATTGTTTCTTACTCATTCTCACAAGAACGGCTGTTGAAAGCAGACAAATTACTTCTCGGAAAATTATGGTAGAATTTGGTAGTTGTTTGGTTGAAAAAAAACCTGGACATTTTCGGATTGTTAATTGACGGTATCGAATACCTTAATCGTTTGAGTTCCAAGCAGTGCAATCGCGCTCATCAAGTTTTGTGTTGAAAATCCAAAGAATCATAGATGCATAGAATATAAACATATAGCTAAATCACCGCTAGTAAGAAAGTTGTCCACAAAAACTCTATATTCTATAACAATTACTTTCTTTTAAATTTACTACAACATCATATCCAAGCCCAAACTTTTTCTTTCATTAGCAGTTGTTAGTTTTGCGCCTTTGTGGCAATAGAACATCAAACAATATTTTGAAACTAAATCACACAGCATCCAGAATTACTTTTACACTTCTGAGAATAAACCACGAAAAGAACGATATCCAGAGGTTGTAGTCTATAAATAGTGGAAAGTCAAAAAATTCATTTCATGTTTGTAAATTCGTTCAAAAATATCTTTATGAACTTTAAATCAGATTATAGGGAGTGAATTATCTGGAGCGCCATTTATCAACTCTTTTCGATTATCACAACTTTTCATTCAACCTATTGTTGTTATTAATTAACATCTTTCTGCGTAGACAATTTTCTCAATTCTGTCCTTTTTCTTCTTGGTGCAATCAATTCTGATATTAGATGGTGATTACAACAATTATGTCCTTTGCAATATATTTCAAGTTGTTTTTCCATGTTCTAAGTGAGCTGTAGTGTTTTCTCTACTGTCAGTAGGTTGATGCTTGCACTGATAATGGCACTTGGCATAAAAATGTATTGCACGTCTTCTTTCTTTAACATGTTTCGCTTTACCTTGTGAAAAAAAAAGTTCATCGAGAATAACAATTCTAAAGAAAACTGTATCAGATTTAAAGAAAGATTGGAAGCAAACGTTTTGGAACCCGTCGAGTTAATACTTACTTCTTATGATGTCAATTCCAACTAAACTATATCGTCTAAAATGATAAAATGAGTGTTTGAAAGAAGCTCATTGAATCTGTGTCACAAGATTCAAACCAAAGTATGAAGAGTAAGCAAGATCAAAGTATCAAACAAAGATGCTTTTTTTTTTGTTGTGGCAAAAATTCATCACTCTTTCTTTCAACAAATACTTTCCATAACATATGTACTCAGTATGAATTTCACAGTGTACAATTACAAATTTGATCAAAAATATTACCAACTCAATAAAATTATTTTTAATCACACGATATTATTTTCTACTTTTAAATTATCATTAATTTTAAACAATACATTTCTTAGTACTTTTTTTTTGATTTGGAATTGGAAGATGTTATTTAAAGAAAGGGTAAAGCGTGGTCCAAAAAAAATGGAATTAAAAAAAAAATAGAAAAATGAACGATTGATGGTAGTAGATAAAGAAAAAAAACAGAGTACTAGTACAAAAAAAGAAATGATTTCTATAAATCGTACTTCATTATTAGAACGGGTTTTAAATGAAATTTAAAAAAACTATTTAAAAATCGAGTTGTTTTTCTCTAGCTCCTCCTCCACGTCGTACTTTTTAGGCCGTAAGGACCGTTATTGGGTAAATTATTGCAATATTTAAATATGCGCTTTAGAACTATTTACATATCGTATACCTACTTGTTATTGAAAACTACATAATTCGTAGCGTATGTGACTAAAAAATATATAAACGAATATATAAATAAAAAAGGCTGATTCGACACTACTTGGTTCGTTCGTGTAGATCTGATGATGTATATTTGTGTATTGTACCGTAAATTGTTTCTTTTTTAAGACAAAGGCGTGTCTCTCTGCCTCCGTTTTTAATTTTCCGTTGGATTTGTTGATGACGATGCGAACGCCACAATCAAACCGGAATTAATTTACTAATTAGATTGTAAGTCTGGTTAAGTTAAAATACAAACAAAAAGAAAACAACTTGTATATATTATATAATTTCCTCAGGAAGATATACCAAAGTCTGTACATAACAGTTGATGAGTAATCTATGTTTTTTATCCATATAAATATTTACTATGTAACACTTATGTATGAAAAATAATAAATTACTTCTGAAAATCAATTTTTTACAAAATTTTTAATTATTAAAAAAATGAAAATCTAACATTTAATCTATTATACAATATACACAATTATTAAATAATAATTATAAATAAAGTGTAATAAAATGTCACCAAAACAATTAATTATAATAATAAAAAGGAAGATGATCAAAAGTATTATTTGTACATTTCAATTTGTCTGGGCGTTTTTTGTCACAATTAATTGGGGACATAAAAAGAGATAATATCACAAAAGGAAAAAAATAACCTCATGTAATAATATTTTAAATTGTGATTATATAAACGTATGAAGCCTTTTTTCTATTATTTTCCTCTTGTACTTATTAATTCTTTAAAAATAAATTAATAAATTCATACACAAGACTAAAGCACTCATCGCATTATATAAACCTATCGAATATATATTAAAAATACATTTCACTTAATGTTATAAATTACATAAGCATTAACGCAATGCTATCTATGTCACGCTTCGACAAACATCATCTTTTTTGACAACAGTAGTAGTCCAAAACTTGAAATTAAATATAAACTTGCAGGTATGCTAGAGAGTAACCTGTATCTTTCATCTAAAGGGAAAAAAGAAAATATTTCAATTATTAACAACAAATATTTTAAACAAACAATTTAAAGCAACAAAATCATCTAAAAAAATACAAGATAACACAATAAACACTGTAAAATAAACTCTTAACAACAAAAAATTACAAAAACAAAATAATAAAATAAAAAACAAATAATTATTTACAAATGCGCATGTAGATGTTCATTGTTTATTATAGTACCTGTCATGTCGGGGGATTTTTTACTTGTAGCCCAACCCAGTGATCTTTGAACAGCCATTTTCCATTTTTTATATCTTGCATCACGTTCTAAACCAAAAAAAAAAAACATTTATTATAGTTATAATTAAATCTTATATATTTATTCATTAATTCAGTGGGGATAAAATCTCCGATCCACCTCTGCCAAATGAATAACAAATTTCAATCACTTTTCTGGGCAGAGATATAAACAAGAATATAAGTCTGCAGTTGCAAGAGGCTTAAATTTGTATTTGCAGTGTCATAATTGGAGCAATAAACGTACTAATTTCCTTTCATAGTCGAATTTATCAACCAAGGAACACAACTTTGGAATAAATTAGAAACGAAATGGGGAAAATAACAAGACTTGTGGTAGTTATTTATTCAGCGTTGACTGTCTGCTCACAAACAAAGTTAGATTACAGCGATTAACTGTACATGAATGGAACCAATTATGCCTTGAATTACAGTTCTTGAGGGAAATACGGCTTCAATTTGCAAAGTGAATACCGCTCGCTTGATGACGTCATACCAGCTTATTTTTTTACTGATGATGAAGAAATTTGGTAAATTTACATCTCAACTTTCAAATTATACAATCTTTCCCAAGAAGAAGAAATACATACTGTAGAATTTATATATACCTTACTTGAGCACATGAGAGTAAACTATGGATAATTTTGTAATTTGCAGATGTAATGAATGCTTTCTTATAGCAAACTGTAAGCCACACATCAATTAGTCCCTTGCTATATTAGGAGAGACTATGCAGCCTTTCCAGTGTCGTTTCTCTTATATATCTTTCACATCGCCTTTCAAGCGCTTTCCCGACGAATGAGGAAAGACTGATTGGTCTATATGATTTTGGGTCAGTGTAATCTCTCCTCCCAGGTTTAGGGATGAAGACTACCTTTACTTCTCTCCAGGATAAGGGAACATAGCGGAATGCTGAGTGCGTCAGAACACAACATATAAATGTGAACACTAACCATTACGTCAGAGCGCATCACGTCACAACACGTCAGACAAATATAAATCCGGCTTTACATGTGATATGATTTATGACATGTATAAAGGCAAAGGAAGGCGTGAAAAAGTTGAGAAAATGGAAAAACAAGTTTGTTCAAACCAAGACCGTGCCAATACAATCACTACAATCTTTAAAAAAGATGTTGAAGCTAAAGTTACAAATTTAAAAAACTGAAAGTCTTGTGGAAATGATAATATAAAAAAGTTTTTAAAGTACGGAGGCCACAAGTTGGTATAAAAATTGAAGAAATATTTAATAAAATTCTTTATGATAAAAGTACGAAAGGAATGGCAGAACAGTATTAGCCTTCCAATATTTAGGAAAGGACAAAAAACGAGTATTATATAGGGGCCGTTTCTGTTTAATCTCCTAATGGATAAAATCATAGAGGAAATAACATCTTTAAATATGGGATATGTGATGGGCTCCAATAGTGTTAGCATGGTGTGTTATGTCGATGACATTTCTTACAAATAACCCACAAATTCAACATTGCTATTTCCGTTGATAAGAGCAAGTCTATGACTACTACAAAAGATCCGGTCAGATGTAAACTCGTAATCGATGATAAGTCAATTGAACAAGTCATGCAATTTAACTATTTAAGTATACACATATCAAGCGCCCATGATCCAGTGAAAGACTTCAAAAACCAAATTAACAAAGTAACCGCAGATCCGCAGATATTCGCAAATCCAATACGAATAGACAGCAAAATTGGAATATATAAGACATGTATAAGACCAATAATGACATACGGAATAGAAGTGAGAGTAGAAGACTTGAGATCAATAATGGGAAAAACAAGAATGACAGAGCAAGAAAATCGAATATTAGAGATAAATGGAACGTTCCAGACATAGTGAGATAGGGAAGTTGCTGAAGAAACAATGGATAACAACAGATTTCCAAAAATCAACTTGTAAACAACCCCCCAAGCTTAAGACGAGCTGGGAGAACCTCAAAGATATGGCGAGACAGCTGGCATTCGACATCTTAGGAAAGTAAACTAAAACTAGAACTAACACTAGACCTAGAAACTTTCGGGTTAAGCCGTGCGTTTTTTGAAAAAAATGTTTGACGATTCGGATGCCATTTTGCAACTTTCTTCAGAAACAAGTTCGAAGTGACGAATTCGATTAAAATTTGACAATAAATATATGAAAAGGTTATTAATAACTAATTGTCTAATTGTCAACTAAGTTGACCCCAACCCAAGCATCTTCTCTATTCATGTTATTCCCATATCGATGAATCTCTACCGCCTCTCTCGTCAATCTTTGGAAATAATGTCCGTTTCTTGCTAGCACTTTGTGGCAATGCTCTGCGACTGCAGATTGTTGGATCTTCCTTAGTCGGATCTTCCTCTCGTGTTTCTTGATTTGAAACATTTTTTCAAAAAACGCACGGTTCAACCCGAAAGTTCTAGTGATAGTGTTAGTTTAATTAACAACGGCCGTGAATGCCTTCGTATTTATATCTTAGGAAATGTTCCAAAGGTAATAACTTCAGAATTAACAGATCGACAGATCTCCAATAAGAATAAGAAGAAAAAGTTTTTAACTTAAAGAACTCTTTTTCTATTCTTTTTTCTTTATTCTCTTTATTTATTGTTATCAAGTAAATACCACAGATATAGACACCTAAATGTAATATACCTTAAAAATGACTCACGTTTTAGAAAGAAATTCACATTTAATTATAAAAAAGTCAACAAAGATATTAATGACAATAAAAAAAACACCATGTACTGGTGTTAAGAGAAACAAGTTTGGAGTAACGCGCTGGCAAGAAAACGACAATTCAGTTGATATGTTTAACAAATATCCAAACTTTTTATTATAGTTGTCCTGAAACAATATTAGTTGAGATAAAACTTAAGTTAGGGCCACTTTTACCATCTTTTGCTAGATCCAGTTCTTAGCCAATGAGAGCGTTGTAACTATGGCTATAATCCTGAGAATAATCCCCCGCGCACTCGCACTCACAATTGAATGAGTGAGTAGTGCAAAATATGATTAAAATTAAAGATTAGAGAGTTCGTAACACATAACAGGAAATGGCATTTTTTGAAAAATTGATGTGTATGGCTAAGCACATTATATCACCTTACTTGGCTTTAGTAATAAATATATCTTAACGCAAGTTTTGAAAGACGTTTGCTAAATAACGATGAAGATTGGAATAAATCGATGAAGCTATTGTCAAAATTGCACAAGATTCAGAGAATCATAATTCTGATGACGAAGATGATAATAATGTGCCCAAAAAAAAGAGATAAACAAATATGGTAACAGAACTGAGAGAACTGAACTTCTGAAGTTTTTCGCAATCTCCTTTCATATAGGGATTGACAAGAGACCTTATCTCAAAGTCTAGTTTTGTTTAAAAATGATTTTTGAACTTGTTTCTGAAGAAGGTTGCAATATAGCATCTAAAACCTCAAACAATGTTTTAATAAGCACCAGAAAATTCTGGTTTAAATTTTGTTTGATTTTTGTTAATGTTATTTTCGATTCTTTCTATAACTAAAATTTTTAAATACACCTGAAGCCGAATGAATTCATCTTGCTTTTTTTTAAACAATGGTCAAATAATTAATTGAGGGGTCTACAAAATATTGGGAATTATGCCTGTTTTTCTCAAATTATAGAAATAAATAAATAAAATTTTATAGAAAAATATTTATTATTAACCTAAATTATCTTACCATCTTCAGTTGTTGTTGGTAAAAACGTATCTTTCGGAACGGTTTCTCTATCTTGTTCTTCTAAATCCCACACTTCAATTCCTGAAGCGTAACCGGCCGCCATCGCAACACCTAATGCCGTTATATCTTGTGATTGTGCTCTAAAAACTGGAATTCCAATTATATCAGCCTATAAAAATAAAAATTATTTAATTATTTTACAAAAAACTCGAATGATTTTATTACTTGTAACTGCATAAGCAAATTATTAGTTGTCATTCGACCATCAACGTGTAACTTTGCAAGCGGAATGCCACAATCTTTGTTCATAGCTTCTAAAATATCCCTTGTTTGGAAACAAACTGCTTCAAGTGCGGCTCTTATTATGTGCTTTTTCGTTGTAAACGCCGTTAAACCACAGATAATCCTGTAAAAACGGCTTTTAAATTTTCGCAATAATTTAATATTAGTATTGTTTTAATGATCTTTAAGACAACAAACACAATCTTAGTTACAAACACTGATGTAAGATAAAAATAAAAAAGTAATAATTTTAATTATTGATTTTGCATTATTGAGAAAAAAATTAAAGATTCTTAAACATTGAAACTTACACACCCTCGAGCATCTTTTCGCCAATAAGGGGCATACAATCCATTGAAAGCAGGGACAAAATAAACATCTCCAGTATTAAAAACTTCTTGTGCTAGCGATTCTGTGTCCTCCGTAACATCATTAATTAATCCCATGTTGTCTCTAAGCCAATTCATTGCAGCTCCAGCCACAGCAACACTACCTTCTAAGGCATATACGGGTGGTTTATCACCAAATTGATAAGCTACTGTTGTAACTAAACCATGCGTTGATTGAACTCTCTAAGAAAATGATACATATAAAAATAAATAGAATAATAAAGAAAATAAAATAACTTACATTTGGGCCTGTATTATATAAAAGAAAACAACCACTTCGATAAGTATTTTTGGCTAAACCTTCTTTTAAGCAATTTTGTCCAACTAACGCTGATTGTTGATTACCTAGAATCTAGCATAAAAAATTAAATTAAAAACAAATATTAATTTAAAAAAATTAGATAGTTTTAAGGACAATCTGTTTTTTAGTACAATGATTAGCAAATTCAATCATACTTCAAAAATATTTTTATTATTTCTTAATCCATCATCCTTTATGACGATATCATATTTAACGTCGCAAAATAAAATGTTTTTATTTAATGAATACTTACTCCTGAGATTGGTATACCATTAAGTGGGCTATTATTAAATTTGATTTTTCCATATATTTCCGAACTACTTCTAATTTCCGGTAAAATATCCGAACTGATAGAAAAAGTACGTAATAATAAAGGATCCCAATGTAACGTTTCAATGTTCATAAGGAATGTCCGTGAAGCATTCGTTACATCAGTCATGTGAATACCACCATTTGGACCTCCTGTTAAATTCCATAAAATCCAAGTATCCACCGTTCCAAATAAACATTTCTTCGCTTTACAAGCTTTCCTAACGTTCGGTACATTATCCATCAACCATTTCAATTTAAAAGCGCTAAAATACGGCGAAACCGGCAATCCACATAAAGGTTTAAAATGATTTTTGTTATTATCCGGTAATTTAGCTAATATTTTATCAACTGTTGCATCAGTTCGGATATCATTCCAAACGATCGCGTTGTACAAAGGTTGTCCGGTGGTTCGATCCCAAACGACGGTCGTTTCTCGTTGATTCGTAATTCCGATCGTGCAAATATCGGATACTTTGTAACCTAATGATGGAAGCTTTTGAAGGACATCGCCTATGCAATGTCTGATTCCTGCTAAGATTTCCATTGGATCTTCTTCGTGCCAACCCTCCCGCGATGTTGATACTGGCATTATATCAACGGCATGGTCGGTTAATTCCTTTGTATGTCGACTACGAAATACGCAGAATTTTACTGTTCTTGTACCAGCATCTATTACTCCTATTAGTGGTTCTTTTTCCGATGCTACAGGCATTTTAAATTATTTACTAGAAAGAAAAAAAAATTGTTAAAAAAATAGTGTTGTTTCCGTTTATTCGAAAAATAAAATTTGTTTTTTAAAGTTAAGTTCAAGGTTTTAAAGGTTATTAAAAATGTTTCTTCGAGTATTTTGCTTTTTTTATACTTTTTAACATAACGTTTAATATTTATGAGATTCAACCAGTTTATAAATAAACGGTTGATAAATTTATTCAATTGTCATCGTCATTTTTTTTTTTTCATTTTTGTTGCTATCTTATAAAAAACAACTATAAAACGTCAATGGGATTTAACGTAACCACAAACAATGATTAGATTTAATGTTTGAAACGTAAAAACCAATCCATTAGGTAATCATTGTGTTTTAGTTTACACGGAGTGGTTTATATTTTCTATGACGTTATTAAAAAACATTTTAAAAAAAGTATTTGCCCATTTATTTCATAACGTGGTATTGGCATTTTATATCAGATTAATGTGATGTTGTAAAACCGATCGTAAAGGCAAAATTTTATGTTTTGATATATTTAGTAAACGACGATATCTCACGATTATGCTGTGAAAATACAGCAGAATGTAGCTCACGTCTATTTTGTATATTGTTAGAGGTGACTATTATTGCATTAATGATCCTTAGGAAAAGCACAGATAGATTTATGTATTATTGGTATAAAAATGACTTTATGCATCATTATGGAACTATATATAGCAATAAAATAGGATTGATGTCTAAATACTGACGATCCATACAATCAATGAAAAGAGAGTTAGATTTCAAATTATTGCACACAACTCTATAACTTTTGCTACTCAAGTAAAAAGAACTTCCACCTCTTGGATTTGTTACACAACACTTTTGCCAGTACTATTGTACAAACCTCGCGACGACCATAATACAACTCACCAGGACCTTATTATGATCTAAATATGTTCAACGTGGAATGAGTCAAGAGTATGATTACGTAAAATTATCATACATAAAAGGAAAATAGGCACAAAAGCCATATTAGCGGAATGACGAGATTGAATCTAAAATAAAAAAAAAACGAAAATTATACTATACTGTGTATGAAACTCCAAAAGGCTGGCGATAAACTTGCATATAGCAAGTACAAGAAAGAGTTGGAAAAATAATTACTAGAAAAAAAAATGAAAAATGGACAATACTTATCAGTACTAAATAATTAAATAAAGAAACTTCAACAAAACTAAACGCAATGAATAAAATTTGATCACAATTTTAGGGTTGACTTTGAAGTTGACGCTAAGTCAAAAATTTTCATCACAGAAACTTTATCACAGCCTGAAATTGTAATTGAAACATTAGTAATGAGACTAATGAGTAAAGAAACATCTTTAAAGTCATACAAAATTTATGAAACTTTCTGAAGATCTAAGTGTTGCTGAAAACTGATAATATAAACCAAAATATATTATGAACCTAAGAAATTAATACTGCACTCCATAAAACTTCATCAAAATCTTAATTTTTAACACAGAATTTCTAAGACTAATAGATAAAAACTTCATTGAAACAATAATTTAACATTAACCGGAAAATCTTAAGGCTAATATGAATCAATCAAGAATTTGACTATAATAAAAAACTTCATCGAAACATAAATTTTAAATTGATAATTTTTCGATTCATTAAAAACTTCAATACAACCTCAAAGTTTAACCAAGAAATAACTAAGAGTTACCACACAAAGCAACTTCAACGAAATATTGATTTTCATTAAAATATTTAATATTAACTCAAAAACGTCATCAAAACCTAAGCAACCTAATTAAATGCAATTTGGATGTATGAAGTTTAATACTTACGCAAAAAACTTTTTATAGTTATAACCTTCACTTTTAACTAGTGGATTAACTGTAAAAACTTCATCCAAACCTAAGCAAATCTAAGAAACTTCATTCAAACCTAAGGAAATCCAAGAAACTTAAACAAAGACATCCTAAAATTTTAATGAGTAATATTTATTCAATCGAATTTTATGAAACTTCTTTATATCTTAATTTTTCGGCATTTACCTTAAAAACTTCATCATAATATAATCAAATCCATTAAAATTCATCAAACACTTAATTTGTACGCACTAAATACAACATCAACTTCAGCTATATTCAATCGTTAAAGAAAATTAATTCAACTACAAATAACAATTAGAAAATAATTTAATAACTTCATCAGAACATTAATTTCTAAATCCACTTCATAAAACTTAATTATAACCTTAATTTCAAACTAACTATTGGAATAACTTCATTCCAACCTAACTAATTGTAAGTTCAAGAAAGTTTAACGAAAATTAGAGGTTTAATTGTAACTCAAAAAACTTCATTCAATCCTAACCAAGATTTAGAAACTTCAAGGAATCTTAGAATTTTAATCAATAAATTGTATTTATTGAATTAAGTTTTATGAAACTTCTATGAAACGGAATAAACCTTATGAAACTTCTTTATAACCTTAATTTTTAAAGTTTTCTCTAAAAAACTTCATCATAATATAATTAAATCACGTAATACAAAATGACTTTTCAATGATTCCAAATTCACTTCATCAAAGTTAATTATAACTTTAATTTCTAAGCAGTGGTTTAACTGTTGCCCAAAAAACTTCATTCCATCCCAACCAAGTTTAATAAACTTTAAGGAGTCTTGGAATTTTAATCAATAATTTGTATTTACTGAGTTAAGTTTAATGAAACTTCTATGAAACGAAAGAAACCTTCTTTATAACCTTAATTTTTAAACATTTCTCTAAAAAACTTTATCATTATATAACTAAATCACATAATTCACCAAAGAATTTTCAATGATCCCAAATTTACTTCATCAAAGTTAATATAACTTTAATTTCTAACTAGTGGTATAACTGTAGCTCAACAAACTTCATTCCATCCCAACCAAGTTTAACAAACTTCAAGGAATCTTAGAATTTTAATTAATAATTTGTATTTATTGATTTGAATTGTATAAAACTTCATTCAAACCGAACAAACTTTCTGAAATTTCTTAACCTTAATTTTGAACAAGAAATTTAACTTTGTCATAAATAACTTCATGTAAATCTCACCAAAACTATTGAAATTTATCAAACCCTTACTTTCTCTCCGCAAATATAAGATCAACTGAATCAATTTTAAGGAATCTTCAATTTTTTATATAAACTTTGAAATCAAAAAAATTCTGCACAACTTTTTTAAACAATAATTATTGAATAAATAATATAAAAAAATCAAATTTTAAGCTAAATATGTTCAGGGTGAATGTATAGTAGATATTATCTAAATATTATCATAACAAAATAAATATTTCTTTCATTCAAGGAATTCAAATCACTTAAGTAATCGTTGCCCAAAATAAAAATACGTTCTTAATTACAATCGTGGCGTGACACTGACCTTTTCAACTAGAATATAATGTCACAAACACACCTGTGCAACAACACGTTTATAATCGCAAAACGGACACCGTTAACGAATCGATAGACACGCGCGAACTGATAGTTTTTCTTTACGCAGAACCGCTCTATATATGAACACCTTTTTATCGCCGCCAGCAATATAAGTACCGAAACGTTTCATAATGGGGTTTATTGAGATTGAGAGTGCCTTGAAAAGTCGAAGTGAATGGATATAAGTTTTACGTAATGGAAAAAGAAAAAATTAAAAAATATTTTTTAGTATAATTGATGATAATTTGTAAAAAATAACTTTAACATTCCCAAACGGTTTTTAACGAAAACATAATAAATTTATAAAGCGATAAAGATATAAATTAGTATCTGGAATATTTTTTATTAACCTTTGAACATTTTAATTATAAAACAAAATAAGGAGTGGCAATTGAACATTGTTCAAAGTGGAATTCGGTTTTGATAAAACCAAGCCAGTTTAAGTTTATCTATCGTTTATACTACATAAAAAAAACTTGATACAATGATAACATTCAAAATAGACACACCTTTCAATTTTAAAAATTATTAAAACCCAGATTTTGACGTTCAAACGGAGGTCAATAACTGTCGTTTTAAAATAATATTTGAGATAAGATTAAAAACGATTTCAACAAAAACATTCGATCAATTGGAATTAAAAATTTATTGCAAAACATAAAACATCAAGAGACAAATATTGAATTAAACTCGAAATGATTACATTTTATGGCACATCACGAAATGTTTATAACTTCAATAAATTTAAATCCACCTCTCTATAAAATAAATTCTTTTACAATCCATTTAAAAGATGAAAGTTTTCTGCAAACACAGCTTAAAAGTAAATTAAAATTTTATAGCAATTTTTCATGAAGCAAACAAAATAGCGCATAATAGTTGCTAACTCAGCATTTAAAAAAATGCAAACGCAAAACAATCTTAATACTATTGCATTATCGCATTGCATGTTTCAAACTATGACGCAAATCAACTATTGTAAACTGAGTAAAAAAAAAATATTGCAATTACTTATAAACAATTAAAAAAAGACTTTATTGACGTCGATGAATGAATAAAATTACACTTAAATAAAGATAAATTTATCAAATAGTTTTTTGTTATTATTTGTTGTTTTTCATATTATCATAAAATAAACAACTTGTTCTGCGAAAGGAATTTGGACTAGATGATTCATTCAAAATCCCATGAATCGGTTTATACCTAATTATCTTGTTTTTAAATCGAAACAAATAACACATCGTCGAGGAACCCACGCAAAGTGAAAAATAATTTTGAAACTTTAAAGACGATTTTAAGATAAGATAGTTTTCAATTACATTTTGTCGATGAAATAGATCATCACATAATGATAACGACATGATGGTTAATAAATAACAAACATTAATAAATAAATTCTTGGCTTGTAGTAATAATAAATAAAAACATCGAAATGTCATTCAATCAGATTCTTTCTTTTTTATTTTTAGAAATGTTTAAAGCAGGTGTTGAAAAGGAATTTGATGGACACCATATAAAGGGTAAATATTTGATTTGGTTTTATTTTTAATACATGCCAAGAGAGGTTTAGTTATTATTTATAAAAAGTTGTAAAATGTCAGTTACTAATAAAATGATAATGAATAATAAAATGATGATTAAAATCCTTTATTGAAATAAAATGTTCAATTGACCAAATGCACTTTTTTACTAGCCCTCAACAGTTGATGCGTACATTAAATTTGCTGGTAAAGTATCTATTATTTGAAGTATGCTTTTACTGAACGCTATCGTAAATGTATACATTAGTAGTAATCTTTACATTTACTAATAAGTTTAAACTATTATTCTAACATACACACACCTAAAACCACTTTATTGAACGAGAAAGATAATTATCACTTTAAAATAATATTTACTTTTACGCAAATAAAATGTTAGTCCAATCGATCTTAAATTAACACTCTCACTCCAATTATGTGAAAATAATGGGGGTAAAATGATAAGTTTATTAACAATGTGTAAATAAATGCACGAGTTTGTCGGACCCATGACTCAATTTACTATTACAAGAATGCGCATGAAATAGATGGAAAGAGAATTGGTAGCATAGTAGTAAGAAGGCAACAACTGAAGGAAAAAAGCACAAAAACTGCTGAAAGTGATGTTGAGATCAACCGTGCCATATAGGCAGAAATAAAAGTCTAAGAGCAAAAAACGGCAGAAATCAAGACAACACCAGACATCAGTAATCTTAAAATATCAATGAAAAATGTGTTACCAGGGATAAAAGAAAGAAAACTGTGGTGAAGAGAATGGTTCCCTTTAAAGGCTAAGAAAAACTGACGATTCTTGTTTGTTGGTGGAAGACCAATAAAGTTTTATAGCAAAAAAGGTTATATCCAATTATCCAAAGAACCAAAAAGTTGTTTAGAACAGCTGAAGATTCTAATTAATAAATTGACATATCATGGAGTAAATTCCAAGATCTGACAAAATTCATAGTAAAAGAAGAAATAGAAGAAAATGTATCTCTAAGGAGGTGTCCTGAAGGAAGATTTTGAAAAAAAAACTTAGGGAACGAAAGTTCCACTTCAATGAGCAAAAGACAAAAAAAATTCGATATTCAGAAAGTATGTACAATTACGGATGAAAACTGATCCTTAAAGGAAAAATGGGTGCAAAGTAATACTTTAGATACCTTATAAAGCTTATAAAGGAAGACCAAAAAAGGAAATTTGGCGAAGTATTGATGAAAAGAAGACCAAGGTTCAGAGCGCAAATTCAGCGAAACAAAATGAAAAAAGGAATATTCTACAGTAATAAATTTGCACTTATAAAGATGACTGATGCATCAAACCCCAAAGGTGAAAAGACAAAAGGAAAAAATTTAGACCAAATAATGCTCACAATTCTACAGGAGTTGATCTCCACCATAATGATAGTGATCAGAAATGGTAAGAATTAATTTCATAGCAGAAAACCAGACTGTAGGAAGATTTAAATGTAAAACGTTCAACCTGATAATCACAGAAGACGTGGAGATACATAACTGAAGAAATTAAAGTTTGAGGAAATATATGAGAAGAATACTGCAAAAAAGGAATGAAGCCAAACGAGGGATCTATGTGAAAACATATAATATAAGGTAAAAATGTGGGAAATACCCTCCAGAACGTTAAGACATAAACCAAATTCTATAAAAACTGTTTAATTAAAAAAAGTGAAAAAGGAACAAGGGTAGTATTCCAAGTAGTCCAGTATTCCAAATAAAACGCTGCTCCTCGAAAATGCAAGATTGCACATCACAATAAATGTAATAATAAAATGATAATTCCCGCTGATGAAACTTTTTGCTGGAGCGACTGAATAATGAAGTGTAGAGGAAGACTTACACTTCAACCCAACATTTTTGCATTTAACACGAAAACGGCGATTTTTATCAATATTATCTAACAGTAATAAAAGTTTCTAAACTAAATTTACTATTAGAAACTGCAAAAATAAATGTACAGTTATGATAGAATAAAAAAGTCTGAGCAAACAAAGTTTAGGAACAGTCTGTATAGCATTGTTCCCGCGGACCGATCCAACTCATAAATTGCCTAACGGTTTTACATCACATTGATTTATACTGTACCAAATTTCAGCACATTACTGCAAATAGCGTTTAAGATTTTTGGAAAAATGTGTTAAAATTTAATTTTTTTTACATGAATCATCATCATTTTCACTCTAGTATGTATATGTGGTTAAATTTGTTCCCCCAGTCAACGAAACACTCTGTATATGTTTTGAGGTTTCTCGAAAAAATCGGCCACAGATTGAGATCTTTTGGTACCATCTGATACACATCGCATCTGATTGCCCCATTGATCTCATTGTCAGTGGTAATGTTGGAAACGACTTAATGTAGAATCTGCGCATTGCAGCTCCTTTGACATTGCAAAAAAAGCTAGCATAAGTTATCGAGTACGCATGAATCGTCTATCAAAGTGCTATAAAATGTTTGTACTCAGATAATGATTTGAGCAACTCCTTCAAAACGCATATGAGTTGTGCTGTAGAAGAAAGCAGTCTTTTAAGAACCTATCCAATTCATTGAGAAGACTGATCGGTCTGTAAGATTTTGAGAGCATTGAATCTTTATCAATTCTCTCCTTCTTGTTTCTTTATTATCACGTTATGTACATTACCTGGACGTGATGCCTTTCTCATAACCCTTTAAGGATCTCACACGCTGCGAGAGATTAGATTTCTATTTCCGCTTACTAGATACCCAATACGTTCACAATGATGCAATAATTGTTATTAATTTTATTAAACAAAACCTTTAAATTTACGATTGTTTCGTATTTTTGGAGGTAAGGTCTTATCTCAATTATTTGAACTTCGGCCAAATATTTAAACATTTGTAGCTAATCAAAATCATCTACTGAACGAAAAGTTTACTAATACAATTTTCTTATCACAATTAACATACATATATGACATTTTTTTGGTATTCCAAGTGATTTACGTTCAACTCGTTTTTCTGTTGGTGATAAAGTTAGGTTGTTCATAAAAAACCTAAACTTGTGAAGTCCACAAGCAATACAAATTGATGTTTAATTATTAATAATATATTAAAATATATAATATTAGCCGCAGCATTAATTTTTAAAGATTATAAATCTTAACAACGACAATCCAGGAAATAAATAAAACTTTTAAGATAAGAAATGACGTAAATTCACGTTTATTAAATTAGATATTATTAGCATTATGTTAAGAATCAATCTGTTTAGTGTAGATACCAAATGTTATTAAAATTATCAACAAACTGCTTCGATAATATTTCGAAGATATTTGTAATAATATTTAAATTGCTTGTTTATAAATAGGGATCTCCTTAGATAAAAAATGCTACAAGTAATTCTTAAAAAAGTCTAAAAAGTGTTTTCGATACAACCGAAATGCTTTATTAGATGTTTATAGTACTGTAGAACACCTGTATATAGACATTAAAAAGTGTAAAAATACCACAATAAAAAATTTAATTATTTATTGAAGAAATAACGTGAAAACAAAAACAGTTAATTGGATTCTTGCAAAAATAAAATTCTCAATTTCCTGATTCAAACTTAATTAAGAAAGCTCAAAAATAGACTTTACTAAGGATTCCAAGATACAAAAAAAAATCCAATCAAAGTAAACCTACGAATCTAAACTGACTCATTATAATTTCAAATGCATTCTCTCACTGGAGACCTTAAAATAGCAGAAAATTGCGCAATCATTGATAAAGTAACAGGAAAAGATTTTAAATCGTCGCTAAAATGATGAATTAAATTAAACAGAAAAAATTTTCATTCAAAATTCCACGTTTTTATCAATTAAAATGGGATCGTACTTTTTTTATGAATGCACTATTTAAACAATATAAACCTAGGTTTAATTTGTGTTTAGAAGTGGTTTATTCAACACCGGTGAAATAAAAAATTAAAATTCATTGAAAACTTGCTCACCTTGTCGTTCCTAACCTAGAAATGCAACGTCACAGAGCCAACGAACACCTCCTCGTTCGGCGACCAACCACCTTCTAGCGCAGAGGCGAGCCCCCAACGAATAAATATCCACTACACCAACATCGTGGGTTCTTTTATCTATTATAGACCTATATGGAACGTAATGTGTTGAACGAGCCACGTACACTACATGACATTTGACAGAAGTGTATAATTACACAAAATTTATGTGCGGATACATTTCCTATAAAGTATAAACAAATAAGTTTATGTTTGTGTAATAATTTGAGAAATGTGTTTTGAGCACAAAGGTCAAAATCTGAAGAATAAACAAAATTATATTTTCACTTACGTTATTAATTTGTTCATCTTCGTGATTATATTCTTGTTATTATTTTAGATAAATAAAAAAATTTCTCTTTTTTAAAGTTTAATTTATAGGTAAAACTTTAAAAAATGCCAAAAAATCGATTACAGCGCCATCTAGTAATTATAACAAATAAAAATTATAAATAATTTTATTAATTTATATTTAATTATAAATAAATATAAAATAAATTTTTTTTTAATAAGAATAAAGTAATTTTAAGCATTAATAATTCTTTTATGAATTAATAAGCTTTGTAGTTAAAAAAATTAAAATTTATTATACAGCGCCATCTATAAGTTATAAAACACTTAAAAACTTGATTAGGATACTGTAAAAATGATTTTGAATTAATTTTCAAATAAATTTTTATTTTTTAATTTTTTATTTATATCAAATTATTAATACATAAATGTTTATCCTTTGAAATTTCTTTAATCACACCTCAAATAAAAAAAAACGGTAATTTATAAATTTTATTCAACTCTCCTCTTCTTAACTAAAGATCCAAGCTAAAAATGAAAACAAAATTAAATCAAAATCAAAGCTTATTTATACGATATTTTACCAAATCAGAAATAGCGGGTAAATTATTGGTTTGATCCCCAGCGCCAGTATTAATAACCTCATTTGCTGTACTTTTACTCCCTCCTTTAATATTTCTATGTTGTGGAAAAGTTGGCATTAATTTAGGATCACAAGCTATAAATAAAAATTATTAAATAATAATCATGATATTTAAATAATATCTTACGTAACGGAGCTTCTTTAAAATAGCTACTTTGCAAGCATTCCTCGGCTGTGGCTCGTTTGCGTGGATCGTACATAAACAAAAAATTTAGAAGTCTCAAACCAGCGGCTGATAGCCACGGAAATCTTTGCTTCAAATTATTATATGGTTGTTGTTTTAAAGTGTAATTCTGTAAGGCAGGTAAATTACTAAATCCTGGCCAAATAGCATCGGAAGGAGTCCCAAGTAAATCAACAATCAATTCTAATTGCTGAATTTCTGATCGACCAGGTAATAAAGGTTTGTGTCCTAATAATTCGCCCAAAATACAACCAGCAGCCCACATATCCACACTTGTCGTTTGTGTAGGGGCTTGGAGGAGCAATTCCGGGGCTCTATACCATAAAGTTACAACATGGGGTGTCATTGGACGAAGTGGAACTCCAAACCAACGTGCCAAACCAAAATCAGCTAAATAAAATGAATTTTTTTTAATACAATTTACTCAATTAAAAAAAAATTACCAATTTTAACACATCCTTTATCTGTCATCAGCAAATTAGAGACTTTCAAGTCTCTATGAACTATAAAATTATGATGAAGGTATCGCAAACCTCTCAAGACTTGTAACATTATGCATTTAACTTGAGATTCAGTGAACGGCGCTTGCATATTGTCTAATAATGAAGCTAAATCTTGTTCACAATACTCCATTGCTAAGAAAATACTAAAAAAAAAGGGGGAGTTAATTGAATAAATTTTTTGATATGATTAAATACCTTTCTAAACTTCTTCCAACAACAACTTCTTTTAAATGAACAATATTTTCGTGGCGACAACTCAATAAAACTTGAATTTCGCGTAAACTACTTACAGGAATACCATCACGTTCCAAATCCATACGAACTTTTTTTAATGCTACTATTTTATCTGATTGTGTATCTTTTGTGCGATCTAAAAAAAAATAATATTGTAGTAACTCTTTGGTTACTTTACCATTCGCTTTTACTTACACACTATTCCATAGGTTCCTTCCCCAATACGATTTAACTTTTCAAACTCGGACACAAAACGACATCTTCCCAGCTAAAAAACAAATTCATTTAGAAATCAATTTTTAATCAAATTGAAATAACCTTACAATATCCGTTTCAGGAATATTCATCGCCTTTCCGGTTTTAAACGAAGTTAAAATTCCCTTTTTTGTGATCGGAGCCGAAGGTTCCGCTCCATTCTCAGTCTGAGCCGGAGCTTTAGCAGCGGGTGCTAAAAATATTATTATTAATATCTTTAAGTAATCCTTTTTAAATTGTTACTTACATTTACGGAGAACTTCCATTATTTGTCACACAATTCTTAGTTTTTTTTAATTAATATGACTTAACCTCAAAAACCAATAAGCCGACAAACAAACGCTGATCGTTTTTTTTTATAGTACTTTTCATAACCAACTGTAGAAACAAAAATCACCAAGAAATAATTTAATCAATACGATTTAAAGATTTTAAAACGTTTAATTAAAAACGTTTATAGATATTAAATTAATAAATAATACTTAAATTATTAAAAATGTATTAATTTTTATTATTTAAGTTAATTTGAAATTGGTAATTTCAGAACGTATCAATAATGCAACAATTAATTGAACGTATCCTTTATGATCATTACATTTATTGATCCGTTTATAAACAAGCACAAAAACGTGCTTTAAACATTTAATTTAAACTCAAACATGTGTTATAGCGGTATACGATAACTAAATGTGGTGTTAATTTTTCAAAAATAGGTCGCATGACGTATTTGGACCTTACTTTTGTCCATATGTAGGTGAAGTGCTTATTCAGTCCCACAAACAAGTTGTTAAAACGAAAAATATACGAATGTTTTAAACAATATTAATTATCCACGTGGAAATTTAAGCGTAACAATGTCTGGTGGTGGAAATCGTAAGAAAAACAATAAAATCCAAGGTTGGGAAGATGCGGGAGTTGAATTTTACCAAGAAAATTATCTTTCGAACGAGGTTGAGCTCCAAGAAGTGCTTAGAAAAGATCCTAAACATTTGGCGACTTTGCTTCCGAGCAAACAAAATCGAGCTTGTAATTCTTTTGTGTCAATTTTTCTGTCGGATTTAATTTACTTTAATTTTTTTGTAGATTCCACGATGCGGATGCATTGCACGGATACTAAATCACGTACCGTGAGGACTGTTAGAAGACAAACCGCTACTAGATCATGGAGGAGAGAAAATACGGGGCGAAGACCTTCAGTTGCTGCTGAAGTACAAGTTGCAATGTTACCGGATTTATCTGAACCTATTTCTAATGAACAAACAGCTTGGGAACAAGTAATGAGGATTAAGGAGTTACCTATACCAATGGCTGAAAAGAAATTGATGAAAATGAAAATACAAGTTTGTTTAATTTATACAGGTGTATCTGAATGATGTTCCCAAACTTCAGGGGCAATTCTTTAGTCAATTTTAAGGGTATTTTGGTGAGCTATGCCCCTCCAAAAATGGCGAAAATTTTGGTTTAATTTTTTTTTTCTCCAGAACTATAAACACCAGGAAAATGAAATTTGGGGTGAAATAGGTTTAGTTCATAATATGGCACGTTTTTAGCTCAATATTCCCTTCTAAGTTACTAAATATAACCATCCCCGTTCAATTTAAACCTAGATTTTTTTTATGAAGATGATAAATACATAGGAAAAACTTCAGTTAGATAGATAAATATATTCTGAAACTTTTTTGTCTCTCTGATGTTCTTCAAAAATTAATAATTTCTAAGAAAAAAATTAATTAAACACTGTTAAGCTGTAGGGTTGTAAAGGTGGCTACACATGTAACTGCAAACTTGACAAGTATGCTTTAGCGTTTGTAGGATAATTTTGCACAAACAGTTTGCTTGTGCAATCCGCATGATGATGGATTGAATTGTAATCATGCAAGCTTGCGCAAGCCGAGCTTGGTTGGACACTTTTTTACAGAGAATTTGATGACGTAGTCAAAAAAAAAATTTCGGTTTTAGATTTCTAGATATTATGACAATTTTCGTTTTTTTTAAATGGAAACAACCACTGATTATTCGCTCATTAAATTCGTTATTTTTTTCTGATTACAAAAATATGGGGTTATATAGGTCTATTTCTTATTGTTTTAGAATAAAGCTAAAAATAAAGTTTTATTTAGTGTCGTCAAAGAAATTAAATTTACAGTTTCCTGTAAATAACGGTACTATAACTAAAAATTATTCTACTAAAAATTTATATAAAATTTACTTTATTTTCTAATACATATGTAACATTCTAACATGTTAAACTTTTCATAATTTTCATAATCCATCTTAAAAAACAGGATTTTTAGTTTGACACTTCAGAAAATTTTTGAATACAAACAAATGTTGCTATGTTTATTTGAATTAAAAAAAATAAAGTCCCTAGATTTACAAAGTACCGCGGTTCATGACGCCTGTTTTCGAGCCAAAATGGCGGTTTGACAACTTGACACTGCATCTCACCACTTATTTACAAAAATTTTGTCGTCTTGTTGCCTTTGGAGTTGCAAAAATGAGAGTAAGAAGGACTTTCGACCCTTCAGAGTACTACCACGAGAAAAAAAGAAAAGAAATTTGGCGTAATGTTATCAATAGAACGACATAGTTTTAAATTTCCCGCTTGACTTTCGAGCCAAAATGGCGTCAACGTGGTACTTTGTAAATCTAGGGACTTTAAAAAACTTGATGAGCAATTCAACCATCACATAATATACAGGTGTTCCATTTAAAAATCTTATAAAAAGCCATTTGCAAAACATCAAAATTTACTAACAAGGAGACAACGCAGTTGACTCTTCACTAATTTTGATGTATTTTTTTTTAATCTATGTTGAATATGTATCAGTTTTACCAGAGCTTTTGATCTAATGGCCCTTCTAAGAAGCGTAATTTGTTTTTAAAGTTTAGGACCCTTGAAAATTAATTTTATATGCCGCAAAGAAAAACTGTTTATAAACAACGGCATATAGCGCGACGGATGAGTGCTGGGCAACAGATCTGGTTATTCAGATCCTTTTTCCTCGCCTTGTCTATGTCGAGAGTATGTTGGGAGTTCCAGTTTAACTTATTGTCTAGTATTACCCCTAGATATTTAACTTCTGCTTTGAGGTTAATAGTTCTGCTTTCAATGGAGTGTGCTCTCAATTGTAGCTTCGATTGGATTGATGCTGAGCCTATTGCTTCTGCACATGATTGTGTCATATTTATCTCGGATTGTGATTACCAGGTCATCAGCATACCCATGAATCATGAATCCATTTTTTGTTAAGGTGATTATCAAGTCATCAACTACCAGGTACCATAGAAGCAGTGAGAGTAGTCCCCCTTGGGACATTCTCTCAGCGCTTTAATACTCAACGACTCGCCACCCAGGCTGGATTTACTGACTTTTTAACCTGGCTATACACCAATTGATTGTCGCCGGATGTATATCTTTTACAGCATTCTCTTTGGCTTCGTAGAAGGTGTTATCAAAAGCACCCTCTATGTCTATGAACACACATAGGGCTATCTCCTTGGGTGTAATTGTCTCCTCTAAAGTGCTTCTCAAAGCAGGGAGAGCAGTAATTGTTGATTTTGCCTTCTGGGAAGCATGTTGACTCGGATGGCGTGGATTAGTGACAAGCACTCCATTCCAAGGTATTGATTAATTACTTTTTCCATCCCTTTGAGGAGAAATGAAGTTGGGTTAATTGGTCTCTAAGCCTTGGGATCGGCGTTTGAACGCCTACCACCTTTAGGAATGAAGACCACCTATACTATCCTCCATAGTGTAGGTAATTATATAGCTAAAGCTGCAGCTTGTTATATATAGGAATATTATTACTGGGAGCAGGTCTTCTACGCCTTTTTATAGAAAAATAGGCTAAAATTCCATCCCCTCTAGGGCTTAAAATTAGTAATAGCCCATCTTACTCTGTTGGGTGTAAAGATATGATGGACGAGTTATATCCATTACTTCAGGATCGGCATCCGCATGGAGGCAGACTTGAGGAAGGGAAATGCGTGCTCAGTAAGAGCTCCAGCGATTCCTTAGCATCCTCAGTGTATTTTCCGCCTTGTTTGCATAGGTGGTCTAGATCACTGTTATGGTTTTTTGCCAAGATCTTATACATTCGAGCAACTGTAGGCGGCTAACAGTAATTAATTTTTTTCAGGCAAAACAGTTTTAGAATATTTACATCTATCTAAAAAAAAATTTTAATTTATTAAAATTTGCTAAAGAATCACCCCTGAAGTTTGGGAACGTCATTCAGATACACCTGTATATATATTTACTATTTATTTAATTTATTTTATATTTATAGAGTTCACCAAATTTACGTCTGCAAGGTTACGAACAATTTAAATGGAAGCGTAGAAAACTTTTTCAAAGATTCAATCAAAACTTTGATGAATTATGGTCTAAATTGGAATTATGGCATAATGATATGAAACAAATGGAGGGGAATTTTGGTACTGGAATCGTAGCGTATTTACTTTTTATAAAATGGTTATTATTTTTTAACCTAACAATTTCAATTGTAATATTTATTTTTGTAATTTTACCCTTAATAATCGGACCAACCCAAGAAGTGACCTGTGATAAGCCCTTCGATAAAAACAATACAGACTGTTGCTTATCTTCATATTTAAATTCAACTAATTTTAAAGATGATGCAATAAGTGTTATACAAGATTTAGTTCAAGGGACAGGTCGTTTAGAGTACACCCCGTTTTTTTATGGCAATTACACCCATAAAAACATTCCTTACGCAATTTTTAACATAAAAATGTATTATTTTTTACCGTTAGCCTATGTAAGCATAACAATATTAATTTTACTTTACTCCTTATTTTCTGTGATTAAAGAAGCCGCGAAATGTTTTCGATTCAAAATAATCGAAGGCGAAGGTCAGTTTTATAAATATTCAAATTTAGCGTTTGCAAGTTGGGATTTTTGTATTCATAACGAGAAAGCTGCTCAAATTAAGAAGAAAGCGATTTTTAACGAGACCAAAAGTAACTTAGAAGTTGAACGATTACGAGAGGAAAAGAAAAATAGAACGAAACAAGAAAACGCAAAAATTTCCGTTATTAGATTGGTTATAAATTTGTTTGAGATTGCCATTTTGGCTTTATGTGCTTGGTTGATTTATATAGTTTTTGAATTTTCGTCTCAAAAACTTTCCAAGAAATTAACTGAAATTGAAAAATTATTTTTTGAATTTTTACCCTCGATTTGTATCGTAATAATGAATTTGTTAATACCGGTTTTATTCCGCTATTTAGTTGTTTATGAAAAGTATAGTCCGGGATTTACCATTTCGATAATATTAATAAGAACAATATTTTTAAGATTATCATCGATTATTGTTCTTTATGGCTCAATGTATTCGATTATTATAACTAATAATAAAATGGAAAATTGTTTTGCAAACGAATACAAATGTTGGGAAACGTTTATAGGTCAACACATTTATCGTTTAGCCCTAACAGATTTCGCAACGCATTTAATAATAACATTCCTTATTAATTTACCTCGTGCTATCTTAGAAAAAAGCACCAATAATAAATTTATCAAATTTATTGGTGAACAACACTTTGATTTACCCAAAAATGTCCTCGATATCGTCTACATGCAAACATTGTGTTGGTTAGGAACTTTTTACACTCCTTTTCTACCGGTAATTTATGTAATTATTTTATTTTTTATGTTTTATGTTAAAAAATTTGTAATAACAGTGAATTCAAAACCATGTAAAATGATCCATCGTGCGTCAACATCAAATTTCATGTTTATGAATATGCTATTAATTTCGTTTATCGTTGCCGTATTTCCCGTGGCTTACACAATCGGTGAATTAAAACCGAGCGAATCTTGCGGTCCATTTCGAGGTTTAAACACCGCTTGGGAAATTGTAGAAAGAACGTTAGAAAGTACACCAGAAATAATTAGAAACTCAATGAGATATTTAACAACGGCCGCAGTAACTGTTCCACTTTTTATCATCTTAATACTTCTTTTGTATTATTACGCCGCTGTTAATAATGCAAATCGACATATGGTTCGTGTACTTAAAGATCAATTGGTACTTGAGGGGCACGATAAACAATTTTTATTAGAAAGACTTAGTCAATTTATTCGACAACAACAAGAAACTCAAAAGCAATTGAGACACGTTGATGGTGATGTTAATATTTCTAGTCATTAAAATTATTATTAAACAGTTTTTAAACCAGATTTATCGAATTGATTTTCATTTAATTAGAGTTGCTGTGATATTAAATGAAAAATGTATACCTAATTTTAAGTTGAACACGCAATATTCCCTTTATTTTCTATTTATCAACATATCAGTATTAATACCCAAACAGATTTTAATTTATTAATATAATAAATTAATTAAATATTTATATACAAATAATCGGTAAACTCTATACATAGAAAAGAGAATACAATTTTATTTTAGCTTATTTTTAAAAGAAAAATCAATCGATACGAAAATGTAGCTTATAAAATTGATGAAAATACGGCCAATATATTCCATGCGACCTCTCAAATTATTTTATCTGCATGTAGTCCAAAGTTATGTACAAAGCTATCTTGTGTAAGTGAAAATAAATTGATTCGTATTTATTATAATGTTTTTTTTTTGTTAAGTGCTTAAATTCAAAGAATATCAAATAGCCCATCAAAGAACGCGAACATATTAAAGACAAACAAAACACCATGGTTCTGTAACGTTATTAAAGAGCCGTGTAAATGGAAAAAGAAAGCGTATTTGAATATATATCATCACAAACGCCACAAGCACACGAAAAATATAAGAGAAACGCTGGGAAACCTTTTCTAAAAGAATGGAAAGTGTCTTCTATGGACTGCAGAAACAAATCTGGCAAAATTAATTAGAAGTCAAAGAGCGGAAGCAAATGAGCTCATTAACATCAAACATATAAAAAAAATAACTGGGTGAAATATTTAAAGAAACTTTATTTAGAGATCAAAACAGAATGGAATACACCTCAGATAGTAATCAACGATGAGGTATAGAAGAGTTATAGAAGAGAAAGATATAGAAAGGGAACTCAAAAAACTCAAGAACAGAAAGAGCACAGGCCAAGACAATATTGCCAATGAGTTACTGAAATATGAGGGAGGGAAGCTAAATCAACAATTAACTTTAATTAAAAAAATTTCTCCCAACATAAAATCCCGGACTAATAGCATTACAATGCTATTATTTAAAAAGGGGGTTAAAAAAATTCCAGAAAACTATAAAGGAATCAATTTACTCTGTACTACCCTAAATTTAGCTGAGCTTAGATGCAAGCTAGTGGTCGATGATAAAATCATACACCAAGAAATGAAATTCAAATATTTGGGCACTGAAATATCTGGATACGGATATATTGAGACTAAAGTAAGGAATTAAGCTGCAAAAGCGGCAAGGATAGCGCCGTACCTAAATGACACAATATGGTGAAATAAACATAGAACTGAAGCCAAAGCCCGGATATACAAGACCGCAATTAAACCTATATTAACATATGTAGCAGAGACTCGACCGGAAACATCCAAAACAAAAAGAATGCTAGAAACTACAGAAATGCAAATAGTACGTAGAGTAGTTGGGAAAACATTGATGGGCAGAGAAAGAAGTGCGAACAACAGACAGGCTTGCAGGATAGGTAACATCAATGATTGGATATTGGACAAAAAGAAGAAATGGAATAAGCACATCGACCGAATGACAGAAGAACGAATTGCGAAAATAACACGGGATAAATCACCATCAGGACGAAAAAGCATTCGAAGACCTAGAAAAAGATGGAGCAACAACCTTCCAACCGATTAGAGGACAAAAAAGTGAAGAAAAACAGGCAGTTATGCCTAAATACAGATGGAAGGAAACATTTAAATTCCTTTCTTTTCAAATGTCAATCATCCTGGAAAAGAATGTTAGGTAAGGTTCCTTTTTTTTTAATTGTCAATCATCGCAGGAAGGAATGATGGGTAAGATCATTCGAGATAAGTTTTGTGTATCAGGATCTTAAGTAAAAAATGTTACGATCAATGCGCTATGCCAAGTAGACAACCAATTCACTGGTTGAACACTTTGTTTTCAAATCTATCGTAATTACTATAGATGGTCGGCCAATTAGGTTCAATTGCAGAAAATCTTTGACTCACACGATGATCTATAGGTACACGGAGTTCGCTATGAGGATTAAAAATCAGGAATTCTTGAGGATCACACTTCTTCTATTTTTTGTCCAGTTCTTGTCATGTTTTCTTTCAAGTTTTTCAACAACTTGGATTTTCTTTCGTCTAGCATACCTTCTTCTCTATAGCTTCTATTTCTAAAAGATTGCAATTTCTTCACATTTTTGTGACTCTTCAAGATTAATACTCTATGTCAACTGCGGCGTTATTATGGCTTCTATTACCTTTACCTTGGTTGTTGCTGGAAGCGGCGATTGACCTTTTATAACGAAATGTAGCTTATTTGCCGTTGTTTTCGCAATGCTTAACCTCTTAGCTGTTTGCTTTCCGGGATTCAATGTCTCGTTAGACGTCGGGACGTCTTCCATTCTTTGCAGTACCAGTTCAGCCGCTTCCGTTCTGGCTCACCGTAAAGGTTCCTTTTAGTTCGGTCACTAACCTAGTATCATTTGCAAATTAAAAGACTTCTATCTTGGTTTTTGCCATTGCAGCCGGGATATCGTATACAAATATATTATGTAGCAGAGGGGAGAGTAAGCCTTCTTTCATTCTTCTTATGCTGGACATTTCATCTCCCATTTTCACCTAAATGTATGTATTTTTCAGAACGGAAGATATCAATAACACTAGATTCCCTTCAAAGATGGCCTCAATCATCTTTTCCAGACGGAGTCGTAAGTCTTCTCAAAATCTAATAACACCGCTATCTTTTCTACCGGACAAGTTCCTACGTGCTAATGAAATTCGCTGTCTCCTGTACAGTTCCTTTATGTTTTCTGAATTCATATTGATTCTTCGGGAGTTGTTCTTTCCTTTCTACGTCTTTTTGCAGTCGCTCCACCAAAATTCTTTCGGTAATCTTCGACAATCCTGCCAAGAGACTCGGGCTGTGATGCATCGTTTCCCGGTTTTGCGATTGTTAGTACCATCACTATTTTCCATGAGTTAGAACATGAGTTTTATTATGTCGTTAACTATCTTCGTGATTTGTAATCGTGCATTTTTGGGAAGCATGTTGAGTGCCTTGTTTGGGATACCATCCATTTCTTAGATTTAGTATGACCGACATACTAAATCCTCATGCTAATTTCTTCCTCTGTAATCTCTAGGGCTTCCAGATTTCCCTCCGTGATTTTGTTCAGCGCTGTGTTTACTCACTTCTGGATATTATGGTCCATTCTTTTCTTGTTGTCAAATTAAGTTTCCAAGTGCATGCCAAACTTTTTAATGGCGTTTTGCTTTGTGGCTTCCTTCTTATCTCCTTCAAGAACTTCCACAGGGATTGGTTTGGTCTTTTCCATCCTCAAGGAGGGACTTGTCACAGAATAAATTATTCTGTGGTCTTGTTCCACATTTTTACTTTGTGCTCATCTAGCATTTTCTTAACTGCCTTCTTCTGCAACTGATTGTATAGGTACCTTTTTGTGTCTTTTATTAATAACTGCCATATTTTTTGTATATTAATTAAGATTAATTAACAAATTAAATAATGTTTATAACCTTTATTATCATTATCTTGGTACATATAAAAAAATTTACGTGAACAAATTATTAAACTCAACTTTAATCACGTACAACACGTATGTACAACCATTGATTCTCTCTTATCAGTAGATAAAATAATCATTTCAAAGAAATTTCGAACTATGACCTGTCATTATCGTTATTACTACAACAGGAAATGAACACACATAAATATTATTAATCTTTAATGTGCTAATTTAGTATTATCTAGTTTTTGAAATAAGAATCATTTCAATTCTATCATCTAAATTTGAAAAATTTCTTTTCGGTGTTACCAACATAAAATTAAACGAGAAAAGTGTTATTAATACACGTATTAAATAAACTAAATTTCTCTAATTAATAATTTCATAATTTATTTGTTAATTATAGTATTTTTTTAATTAAATTCTAAAATAATTTTTTACACTGTTTTTAAGTTTAAAATAATTATAGTAGTACCAACAAAAATGCCAACACATTTGGTAACAAACTAAAAATTCCCTAATTCAAAATGTCAGTTTTATCTAACCTGTCAAAATTTACCATATTTTCAAACAACAATGTTTAGGACACGTTCGGTGCTCGCGATTTTTTTATTAATCGCCGTGTGTTTCGACGATGTCGAGTGTACACATTTACGGGGCAAATTCACCAATAAAGATTTCTTTAAGTTTCTTATAAAGTTCGGTTTTCAAAAGACGGATAGGCACCAAAAGGAGGCCACGCACGGTTACATTTTTGGTAATATCACCTCTAAACAAACGTTCCCGGTACCCATAACGTTCGCGGTTCTTGACCGATCATATTTCCTCGATTACTACCAAAATAGGGTTATATTTGATAAACGGGAAGCATGCAAACATATGTTTCCACAGCTCAAAGTGAAGGCTTTCGACCCTGATTGTAGTGCTGGCGGTAATGATTATTTACGAAAGATACCGTGTCCGAAAAATAAACTTTGTGTTGATGAGGATTCACCTGAAAATGTTATCAAGGGTCATCAATTTACTTATGTTATTCAGGATTTACAACAACCATCGTAAGTTTTTTTTGTCGTATTATGTAATGAAAAAGTATTTTGTAAAAGTTACAATGTCAGTTGGAATTTTGTTGCAAAAAGGAACTGTTTTTCTAGTGAATAGACAAAATATTTTAAATAGTCTAAAAAATGTTTAGATAAGAATTGTATCGTTATCTTATTAACCCAAGTACTTGTTATGTTTACAAATATTAATTATAGAAAGTGGTTTCGATACGGTTAATTCTAAATAAAAAAATTAAATAAAATTTTAGATTTACAGTTACCTTAGAATTCACTAACATAAATCTTCTAAAGAACCATGCTTTTATTTTCGGTCAGATTTCAGTTTGTTTACATATTTTTAATTAATTATTAATAAATTGCATCTAATTTTCATAAATGAAATTGTTTACCATAACCTCAATTTTTGATTGTTTCATTTGAATGATTGTCAAATTTCAGAAGACCAACTTAAAAAAATAATTTTAATTTATTTAAAATTTTATGATTTGCTAATCTTATTATTATAATTAATTTTAGATTTTGGTATTTATCAATGGTAGCATGTTACCATAATAGCACAACATGTGATTGGCATTACTATGAACCAAATCAACATTATGAAATAGAATATGATATATGGTTGGTAAATGGAAGTCCAAACGTTTCATTAAGCACCTTTACTTATCAATTTTCTTTCGATCGACAAAACACGTTGGAAATGTACCTCCTTTTTTGGTTATGTTACATGGTGCTAGTCCCATTACAATTACACGCCGTTCGAATACAAAAACACCCTGTAACAAAACTATTTACAGCTAGTTTAATTTTGGATTTTTTGGCTCTATGTTTGATTTTAATACATAATTTGAAATTTTCTTTGGATGGAATTGGATATCCGGGGTTATCCCTTGCTGGGGATATATTTGATATTTTATCAAGGGTAAATAAAAAAAAATTTTCGCTAAGATCAAGATTCATATATCGCTTTTTTGTAGACTTCTTTTATGTTACTTCTGCTTTTATTAGCTAAAGGATGGGCTGTTACCCGGTTGGAATTAACCTGGAAACCATTAGTATTTGCTATTTGGTTATGCTATGGAGTTGTACATATTTTATTATATGTTTGGAATTTAGTAAGTATTAAATAAAGTTAAATTTAAACCTTTTTAACATCAATATTTTGTTTCTTAGACGGAAGTGGATATAATTGAAGATATAGATGAATATCAAACATGGCCTGGTTGGTTAATAATCGTTTTTAGAACCTTGATTATGATCTGGTTTTTATACGAATTAAGGACGACGATGTTATACGAACATAACACACAAAAATTAAATTTTTTGCTACATTTTGGAGCGTCCAGTTTAGTTTGGTTTATTTATTTACCAATTTTAGCTGTTATAGCGCTTCATGTATCAGCATTGTGGAGGTTTAAATTATTATTAGGTAAATATATATATTTTTTCACTCATTTTCCTTGAATTGAAAGGTCAATTAAGAAAATTTTCGATCAAACTTTTATTATATAACCTGTGAATAAATGTTACTTTTTTAAAAACTTAACTGTTGCTGAGTACAAGTTTGAAACTGTGGAAAACATTAGATACTTGGGTATTTTATGATGCTAGCATACAACACTGCATACAAGACAGTAATAAGACAGAATATTGAAACTTTTACTATACAGGGTGTATCAAATGTCTGGAATATAGCCAATAACTTCGCTATTTGTGGTTTTAAAGAAAAATGTTTAAAATAAAAAATTCTTTATTAATTGTGGCGCATTTTTTGGTGATATTTGCTTGTTTACATTGTTTTTTGTTTCGTTGCTATGGCAACCAACATTGTTATTTTAAATGGAATGTATATGTTTTTTTTGCATATTTTGATAGAGGATAAATTCCTCTACGCGATGAACATATCAAATCACATGGTTGTATAAGGAAAAAGTCGAGAAAAAATGCGTTCTCTCAAAATATTAAATCAGCGAACTACAATTAAAGTCAATTAAAGTAGGCGCCGAAATAACGCCGTTGACAGCTTTAAATGTCAAAAATTTGACAAATATGGCGCAATAGGGCTGTTAAGTCTTTTTTATTGGCTTATTCGAAAGTTTTTTAAAATTGATTGAACCTATATTTTTTAATTTTTGATTCTGAGGCTTAGGTTTTCAAAGAAAAAATAATAAAGTTTGAAAGTACAGGCGCGAACTCCAAAGTACGACACTCAGATTTGAGCGTATAAAAATCAATAAAATTCCTGAAGAGAGACAATGCTACGAATCTTATGCGCTAGAAGAAAACAGTAACTAAGTACGAAACATAGAACGTCTGTGATTTCTTTCTTCTTACATAAAACGTCATCTGGAGTCGGAGGTGGGGAATTTTAAACTTTTACATTAATTATTGCAAAAATTAAACAATTTTCCAACATAAAAACATTACTAATCCGTCTAATTTAATTTAGATTATCGATTTTTTGAAACACGGTCTTTATAATCGATTGACCTTAACGGCCCTATTAAGCGAACGACAAAGAATCCAAATATTAATGATGACTCTTCAATAATATTTACTAGGATACACACATTACAGAATTCACAGTATCCCAAAATATTAAAAAAATTCTTTAGCAAAGGAAGTGTCAAAAACCTTCCAAAAAGTGGACAGCCAAAGACAGCTACCAATGACGAAATTCCATTAAACGTGTGTCACCGTACCCATACATCATTAATTTTTCATAATTGTTGAAACTGTCATTTTTTTGACATTTAACGGCGTTATTTCGGCGCCTACTTTGATTGTAATTTGCTGATTTAATATTTTCAGAAAACGCATTTTTTCTCGCTTTTTTTCTTATATACAACCCTATGATTTGATACTTTCATCGCATCGAGGGATTTATCCTCTATCAAAGTATGCACGAAAAGCATATGCTTCACATTTAAAATAACAATATTGGTTGCCATGGCAACCAAACAAAAACCAATACAAACAAGCAAATATCGCCAAAAAATGCGTCACGATTAATAAAGAAACTTTTATTTGAAACATTTTTCATCAAAACCACAAATGGCGAAGTTATTGGCTATATTCCAGACATTTGACACACCCTGTATAAAACGATGGTAAGACCAGTTTTGACACATATGGAAGCGAAGTCGTTTTTAACAATTTTCTTTTTGTTATTATATATTATTATTAAACCAAATTTCTTATCATCGCCACTTAGAATATTAGACATATACAGGTGTTTCATTTAAAACTTCCAGGACAAGTATTTCTGGAATGTTCTTATTATTATTATTCATTTTACAAAAATAAAGATGGCGCTGCAGTCAAAAGAAACTTTCCCTTCATCACCAACTTTTTATTAGCTGCACGTGATAGAGCATGTAAAACTGTGCAACTTTCCTTGTTAACATTGCTTTCAATAGTTAGTAGATTCGGAGATATTGAACATTAAAGAAGAATAGAATTGAAATAAAATTATTCATATAAACCAATAAAGTGGTCTCAACATTATTTTTAACATAAATAACAAAACTATTTAACAAAATAAAAAACAGAATTACATTTTAGGTTACCAAATAAATTTTTCACAATAATAATTATTGGAACAACAAAAAAAACTTATAATAACTGAAAATTACTTCCATTTTCATGAACGCACAATTCGAATCGTCTTACCAATTCAACATTACAGTTATATTATTACTCTCACCACAGTATTTGAACCAATCCATCGTTCTGGAAACTTGCGGTTCAGGTACTGAGTCACAGGCATTATCTGCGTATCATGTGGAGCTGCACCATCTTGTTGAAACCACGTCGGTCTTTTTAATGCTTCCAGCAAAACATTCAGTAGTTTGGGAAGGTTGTTCTGCATAAATTTCAGGTGACTTGTAGATTAAAAGGTTGTTTGATTATTTGTTTGTACAGTCCAACTAAGATTGTCTATTTCATTATCATGGACATTCGTTGCACCACAGAATGTTATTGAGCATGTTGTCTCTTCATACCAAAACTGAAAATTCAGCCAAGAACTGAACTCAACGGATATTGTCATCTGGTTATAAATGTTGAATTGCATTTATTGCAAAAATTGATTTGTTTTTTAAATTCGATAACATGTAACAGAAATTTGCTTGTTATCTTAGTTGCCACAATGATTTAGAAATGTATGCGAGTTGTCATTTATTATTTGCAAGACCATTGCAGTTTTCATCGTCTCAAACTCGTTTTTCTCTCTGTCGTTTCTGTTTCTTAAATGTTAAAAAATTGCAAAATTTATGAACGTTTTCGTTCTGGTCTACCGAGATATCGCAATCACCATAAATTAAAATCATATTTAACTTATTTTCTTAATAGTCTCAGTATTAATTCTAAATATCTTCAAAACTACAAAGTTTTCAAGTCAATGTTGATAAGGAAAGTTGCACAGTTTTTGATGTTCTATCACTTGTATCTAATAAAAACGTTGTGTGGAAGGGAAAGTTAAGGGAAAGTAACTTTAATAAGTGGACAAAAATCTTGGAACCAACCTCAAACGTATATTTTCATGTATAAATTTCTTTCCTATGAGCGGAGGTTCTAATAAACGACGCGGACACTATTTTTCTTTGATTTTTTATCTGCAGTGTACCTCTATAGGTACAGGTTGGTCCAAATTCGATGTCCGAATAGGCTAACTCGAAAACTATAAGAGTTAGAAAAAAAGTAGCTTACATGTCATGATCTCGTTTTTCGAGAAACTGCTAATGCCGAAAACCTCAAAGCCCTATCGTCTTTTCTTTTTCCCCTAGAGGGCAAAATTGAAAATATCGTAAAACCAACAAGTGCAATTATCTTGGTTATTATTATAGGTGGAGTATTATAACTAAGACATTATATGGACACTTTTTTACAGAGAATTTGATGGTGTAGTCAAAAAAATTTTTCGGTTTTAGATTTTGAGATATGACAATTTTCGTTTTTTTAAATGGAAACAACCACTCTGTACGTACACCGAGTTAACTTAGTAGGTTAGAAAATCAGGAATTCTGAAGACCACACTTCTTCTATTTTTCGTCCAGATCATCATTTTGCAGCATTTCTGACGAAATATGGAGTAATCGTTGCTGAACACAGATTCTATTTCTAAAAGATTTCCATTTCTTCACATTCTTGTGACTTCAAGATTTCTACTCTACCCTCTCAAATGCGGCGTTATTATGGCTTCTATTCCTTACCTGCCCTGAATGTGATCAGTAGATACAGTAAATGCCATTGTCGGTGAGTCAGGGCGCATTCTGTTACCATTATAATACTCGAAAAGATCAACGTCGGGAGAAACCAAGATATCTTTTATACAGTTACTGAAAAATGTGTTAACATTATCGGGATCTGACAAATGTGGAGGCATGCTGACACTGGAAGATTTCAAAACATTAAAGTTTTTAAGATTTTTCCACATATCTCTAGAATTAGCAACACTTAAGTTTTTTTTTTCAAAGAAAGCCTTTTTCTCCCGACGAATGGCACCTGTAATGTAATTGCGCAGCAATTTGTAATACTGAAAAGTTTATTGATTTCTGTTTCTCTTATATTTATTAAAAGCATCATTCCTTAATTTAATCATTTGTTTAATATTCTATGTAATCCAGGGTAAGGCCCTTTTCTTAAGCCCTTTCGTCACAATAGGTGCATGAAAGTGAAATAAAGACAGCATGCAAAACACGGAAGCTAATAACTTTGACCTTAGGTTTAGCACTTGTAGGAATTAATAATTGACAATAGACTAACAAATAATCTGAGACCATAATATCCTCAGTATCACAAATGAGAAGAGGAAACTCTTTAGATATAATAATAACGTCAATTAGGGTCTCAGAACAACAGTAATTTGAGTCCAAATGCATCCAAAATAGGGATCAAGGCATTAGCAGAAGATCTGAGAGATTTCTGACAAAGACTCCTGAAATACTTCCAAAAACGACCTCAAATCAAAAGATATCGGCCTGTAGATAACCCCAATAGCAAAATTGAAGCTCTTCACTGCAAACTTAACCTATAAGTGCTCAACTCCAGGAACCTATTCAATACTAACATGTTGACATTTACAGCAGCTCCGAATATAAATTATCAAAATCTATTGATATGTTAGAAAGCTTGTACTTTATTAAATCTGCGTGGCAGATCTCACAACGACAACTATAAATTGTTTTTACAAAGCTGGATTTCAAATGGGTCAAGGAAGATCAACTGATAATAACTGTCATGTTTAAGATAATTTGGAATTTTCGGACAGAAAATGTTGAAATTGAGGCAAAAGCATTTAATGTAATTTCTAAACTAAAATCATTCGTTATTCGCGAATGATAATACATATTTGTATGTACTTTAATTTGAGTAGTGTTTACACACAGTCTACTTATAAGAGCTTCCACTATATTAAAAAGAATATATAAAATAATATTCACCAGTAAAAACCGTTTTGTATTTGTTACAGGAATGACTTATTCAGCAGATTGTTTTGCATATTGTGTAATGGCACATTTATTATGGCCAACAAGATCAGAACAGTATTTCCTCTTAGCAGGACCATCGTTCGCTGAATTGGAAGAGTTGAATGAGTTTAATGAAGCTCCTCACATTGTAAATAACTCATACACCTCACTAAGTAGCGTAAGTTCATTAGATATAGTAAGTAGGTATGATGAGTCGCTCAAGACGAAGGTAAACGCGTAAATCAAGTCAAAACAAAAACTTATTTACTAAAAAAAAATAAAAATAAAAAAAATAAATAAATAACAAGAGTTATAACAAATACGTCGGTGATTCTTAGGTCAATTGATGCGGACTGTTTTAAATTTAAATAAGTTAAAATAATTCGTAAAATAAATATTAAGGTGAAGTGCTTGACACTTTTGAAATAGTTATGGTTATTGTTGAACGTATTTGAGGAGTAAAAAAAAAAGAAAAAAAATGGAATGAATGTAGAGTTGTTTATTTTGCACCTGTAAAACTCATACTTTTTTGAAGGTGATATATTTTTTAACGAGCAATACGTAATATTTTAAACAAATAGGAAGTAATATTATAGAAAATTTGAAAGAGTGTCAAGAAATAGCGAGTAAATAAACTAGATTTGTAGAAATGCTCTGTAAATAATGCACACATTGATTGCTACAAAAAAAAAACTTGCCGTTTTTTGATTTAAAAGAATGGAGTAAATAAATGAAGTTTTTGAATGCAAACCAAAAAAATTTAAATTAATGTGGTTGGTGCCAATTTTTTAAGACTAGATCATACGTGGATCAAAAAAAGGGGCTGTTCCTTTTATTAATTTATAGTATTTGGATGTTATTTAAGATGCACCGTAAATAATATGTGATGTGGCACTTTAAAAAGTTATTACTTTTTTCAAATAGGCAGCAAAAATTAATTTTTAAATAAATAAATCCGCTTTGTTTTTTTTTTGTTTTAAAAAGACAAAAACGTAGTAATTTTAAAGTTTTAATGTTATTAATTATTAAATAAATGTCTTTTAAACAAATTTTAAAGAAAATAGTAAGAACCAGGAAAAAAAATCAATATAATTTTAAACCCTGGTAATAATATATTGTACCTTTCAAAATAAACTTAGTAACAACGATCGCACTTATGATAATGCAATTTAAAATTAATTTATTTTGTGATATAGTTTTTAGCCTTTATTATTATTTGTTACGTTACTTTTAAATTAATAACAATAATTTTTCATCAAATTTATTGATTATTAATTTAAGAGTAATGATTAAAATGTTATTTTAATTGTACATATTTTTTGTTTGCCTCAATTAGGCGTATTTTTACAGTATTTGTATATTTTTTTATAGATTTTAATTGTAATAAACGACTGAAGCTCTCTCTATATTGTTTTATTTATTAATTCATTTTTGAAACAATTCTAACATTTATAACAACTTAAAACAATTAGTTAAGTCATCAATTTCTTTAGTACAACTTGGTCCTATTCCTAAACAAGTCAAAGTCCCCCCTTTAACTTGAGTTCGACCACCATCATAAATTAAACAAGCATTTAAACCGCGTTTTTTAGCTTTTTTATAAACCTCTAGAATCCTGTCTTCACTATTTTCGTTTACTTTTAAAATGATTTTTGGTTGTCCTGAGAATATCCAAGATTCAACGTTTTGTGGACCTGATTCACTTGCTGATTTATATAAGCACACTGCAGCATGGGCACATTGACTAGCGATTTTACCTTTTCCCATTTGGATATCAGTACGTACTAAAATTACCATTTTTGTGTCACTTGCACTATATTTATTGAGTTGCTTTTTGAATAAAGAGAGTTTGTTTAGGAAAGATTTCATTGTGGATTATTAACTTGATTCTTGGGATTGTTGTTTTTGGGTATAATTTACCATACACTTTTTAAACTCTGCTACTTGAACTTGACATTTTCGCCAGTCTTGAGTTTCAGCAATACATTCCTAAGTATTTTTATTTTTTTAATAAATTAAAAGGATTATGAAAGTTTTACAACCTAACCTGTACTTTGTAATGAAGGTTTATACAACCGGTCTTTTTTAACATCTCTTCCACAGGATCGGTTATTTCAACACTTCCATGAGCGGTCATTGCTGTTTAAACTATTTTAGTTAAATAATAATTAATAAAATGATATTTTTTTCTTAGTTAAAATTTATAACCTAACTTTTTTCTAAACGTCATGTGACAGATATTTATCTTTATAATAGGAATAAAAAAGCTTTGTACAAAGAAAATCTTTATTTATTTTTTTTTTTTTTGGTAATTTCAAAATCTGAAACCTGTCAGTTTACCAATTATTTATAAACATTCAAAATTTGAATATTCAAATCAACAAAATAACTCGTCATACAACACTATTTAGATTCAAGTTGAGCCAAGTCTTAATTTCTTGTACATATTGACAATTATCACTGCCAAATTGAGGCAAAGTATTACTAATTAATACAACAATTGCTTTTTTTACATGATTATCAGCTGAATCATTCAATAATGGCTTTAAATGTATCCTCATCTGTTCATAAACCCATTTATTAGGATGATTTTTAAATAATATTAATAAAGCAAATTCCAAGAACTTTGAAGGATTTTCTAAAACAAATAAATTAATAATTATTATAAAGTAATTTTTAAACATTTACCTTTAAACTTAGTAAAAGTTTCGTTAAACACATCTTCACTCTTCCATCTTTCTTTAGGATACCCATAATAATTTTGTAATAAACCCTTCAAAGTCGTTAAACAATAACCGGGTTTACAATTTTTCATGTTAATGATTTGTATTAAAACTTTTACGAGCATATTGTCGTGTGATTCAGCTTCTAGTGGTAAAATTTCCGTCCACGTACTCAATACGGTGTAGAGAAATGGAATTGCCAAGTTATTTAAAGTGAAGAAAACGTCTCCAATCATTCTTCTCATGCGATGCAACTCTTTTTTTAATTTACAAATTCCCGTGTAAAATCTGGTGGTGGATATTAAACCATCTAAACTGGTTTCAATTAGGATACTACGTTCTAAAGAAAATAACATTTCTGTTAAGATATCAGGAAAAGATTCTTGTAGTTTTATTGTTAGTCCTAGTAAAGTTCTTTGAACTGGCGTCAATAATGGTGCTGGTGGGGTGTATTTATTGTCTGATTTACTTGTATCAATTAATACTTCTGCTATTATTAACCTAAAAACATAAATCAATTAAAATATATTTTTTTTAATTCGACGGAATTTTTATTTACCTAATAATATAGTTTTGTTTCTGACTAGAAAATTTATCGAAAATTTCTTGTAGTATCACAGATTCACCAGGAAATTGGATTAATTTCTTAAGTAATTTTTTACATACTCCTAAAAAAAAAAAATAATAAAAATTAAGTCAATAATAAATTAGACGCATTTTTTAGATTTAGAAAGTGATGTAAAGATAATCGTAAAAGGTAAATATTTAGTTAATTTCATATGTCAGGTTCAAACACCAAAAATGCACATTAATAATAATAATTAAGCAAAAACATCCACAAAGCAAAATTCGTTTCGTGGCCCTTGTAATAAGTTCTAGACTGTAACTTTATGAATGATAGAGATGTAAGAGTTATGGTTTTATTGCTAAAAGTGCGAGTTATGCTTAATAAACAGACTTTATTTTTTATAAATTGATCTTTAGATTAATCTTTTGGGTATATTTTGTGTATTTGGAACGTAATGTTTATTATAGAGCAATAAGGTCGTGGCTTTGCCAATAGAATTCCATGAAAGCCCAAGACTCGACTTTGAGAATCAGCCAAGGATGAGTCAAGGATCAAATGGGATAGTAACGCAAAATAAGGTGTTGTATGCTGATAGCACCTCCTAGCCTCTCCTACTCAATTCCCACTCTTAGCTTCAAAATGGGGAACCCTGAAAACCTGAGAAATTCTGTGGAAAACTGCGGTAACCAACCTCAATGGGAGACACAGTCAGGACATGATAATATACTAGATATGACGGCGAGAAAGATGCCTTGTCGTGACTCTGATCACTATCTAGTTCAGATACAATTTAGGTGAAGAATTAACAGCAAAGTACAACAAAAAACCCACAAGCAGGAGAAATTTAATGTAGAGAGATTTAAGGAACCTATTGTATGGGAGAAGCTGAGGGAGAAAATAGAAAAAGGATTATTAGAGGAAGGCGATGAGACATGATCGCTGGATGGAGAATGAAATGGAATCAGGACAGTGATGAATGGTTCGATTGTGAGGTATAGAATAAAGATAGAGAGATGCACATGAGAGAATCTATAAATAAAAGAAGAGAAGGTATGAAAATGACCAACTTTTAAACGGTTTCAAGTCAGCCCAGGTTGCTTGCAGCCAAGTCAATCATAACTTCAGCCGAGGTTGCTAGCGGCAACTGATACCCAATTAGATTATCCAACCAAAATCAACCACTACTTCAGCCGAGGTTCTGCAATGTATGATGATCAGTTTTGGGTTGATATGGTATTAACGTAATCAGCCGATATCATCTATTAACTTAGCTCAACCCTCTGAAAATTTTCCAAAATAGTTAGATAACGTGAAGTGTTTATTACAAGCAATGGACAAAATTGGTTATGTCGCTTTAACTGTTGGATGTAGATTTAAAAATCTTATTCAACGGTGTAGCTAAGTAAAAAGTGACCATTTTGGCGTTTATGCCGTTTTGGCTTGGCAGCGTCGAAATAAGATAAATAACGAGATAGATACGGAAAGTAAACTCAACACCAACTTACTCAAATAAGGTACCCAACCCTATTAAAACCACAAATTCCTATTTTAAGAATAAAAAAACTACTTAGATTTTAGAACATCACAGTTACGATGAATTTTTACCTCATTTTCTATATGAAAGTTGCTGAAATAATAATGATACCAAAACCTGGTAAACACCCCACAGATGTCGCATCATAGAGGCCAATCTCGTTATTACCTTTAGTATCAAAACTATTTGAAAAATTATTATTAAAAACTAAAACCTGTAATAGAAGAAAAAGCCCTGATACCAACACATCAATTTGGGTTTCGGAATAAACATGCAACAATACACCAAGTGCATACTCATATTTCCTTGATCAATCGCTAAGATCATATAAGAAATCCTGTCCATTAAGAAGGAGGCTGGACAAGTGCTACAATAATTCGTGTGAAATACTGAGCTAGTACACCTCAAAAGGCAGGTAGTAAAAACATTTAACAAGGCAAAAAAATCGAGAAAAGAGGAAGACTGGGAAGTTTATAAACTACACCAGTCGTTGCTTGAGGACTGCCATAACAATCTTTGTGAGGCAGCCGCTAGCAATGAGATTACGATCTGCTGGAAAGGGTCATTCGGCAAATAAGCTTCATGACATGGTGGACAAACTGGCAAGGAAAGCTGCAGTCGAATTTCCGGGGTCGCCAAAACCATTCACTGCCCCAACAATAAGGTCTTTAATAGAGCTTCAAAAAGAGGAAACACGTAAGAAGTTTCTAAACTATTGGGACAGGACACTAGGATGTCGCCAAGCCAAGGAGGCTCTGATGTACCCTGACCCAAAACGAACAGATTTATTTATGAAGCTGTCCAGGAAGAACCTACGTTTGGTTGTAGGTCTAATCACTGGACACTGGCATCTACAGAAGCACTTACTGAACATGAGAATAAGTGACACTGACATCTGCAGAGGATGCGGTGAGGAGGAGGAATCGGCGGAACACATTCTATGCGACTGCGTGGCCCTCCGAACATTAAGGTTATCCATTTTTGGAGATATCCAGATTCGCATGAGTGGAATTAGGGCAGCACAACCAGGACAAATTCTAGCCTTTGCCTCCAAGGTAATATGTCTGGAAGGACGCTAATGCTGACCAAAAGAGGGAAGTAAGCACAAGGGATCTGCTGAGGTCAAAGTGCTGCGCCAGATGGTTTAAATTACAAACTAGACCAAATACTACCAGCAATGTATCTTTCTGATCGATATTTTAGAGTAAAATCCGAAAACGCTTATTCACCATTACATGAAATACAAGCTGGCGTTGTTCAAGCAAGTGTGTTTAGCCCAACATGGTACTTACTCTACACCTTCGACGTTTCTCAGATACCAGAAACTTGAAGAGCTACATTCACCGATGACACAGTGATCTTGGCTGTTGCAGAAAACGAAGTAGGTGCAGCAAATAAGTTACAATTGGTGTTAAATTCAATAGAAAACTGCACCAAACAATAGCCAATAAAATTAAATACAAATAAATCGACATACACAAACTTTCAATGCAATTCCTTACGCCAACACCGTAAAATATCTTGGTATGACGCTGGATGCCAGACTCAAATGGAAAGCTCATATCAAGAAAAAACGTGAAGAACTTGATATCACATTTAGACACCTATTTTGGCTTATTGGCAGAAAATCTACGTTATCACTAAAAAAGAAGTTGCAAGTAATAAAACCAAAATGGACGTACGGAATCCAACTGTGGGGTTGTACCTGCAAGACAAATGCAAGTGTGATTCAAAGATTCCAAAACTAAGGTGCATAGTGAATGTACAGTCAGAAAAAAAAGAGATGCGTCGACTTAATTACATTTTCGGGGTTCATTTTAGATACTGTATATGGGATTTTGTGTAATTTGAACGGCCTATACGAAAAAACGTCGCATCTCTTTTCTTTCTGGCTGTACCTTGGTACATAAGAGACACCGACGTCCACCGCGACTTGGAAGTAGCATCAGTGTCATCAGAAATTGCATTATTTACATTTAAATATGAGAAGAGAATGCACGATCATCCCAACAGTGAGGCCATCCAGCTTCTCGATAACGAGGATGTCCTGCGCCGCCTTCAGAGGATGAAGCCGCTCGATTTAGTGACTTAGTGCCCTAGTCGATTTAAACGCAAGCAATTGTGCGGAATTGTAACAAGAACCGAAATGAGTGTTCCGCGTATCGTAGTGTGCGCGTTTTGTGTTACGACCGTACAACTCTAAAAATATGACAATATGTATCTACAGCGTGTCTGTAAAGTAATCGATATAGGCGATAAATCATTATAAACGGTTTATGGAAAAATCCCTGAAACGAGTCTAAAGATTTAAATTTTTTGCAGTTGTTTGGTGTAGATTTTAAATTTCTACCGCCATTTTTTAACGAGTTATGACGTCATCGGTATTTTTTTCAAATGGCAATCCCCCATTTTCATTAAGGAATATGAAAGAAAATTTTTTCTCAATCTTGTACAGTCCATATTAATATTGCTTACATAAAAAAATATTCGAGAAAAATTACATTAAAGTTTAACTACTTCAGATTTGTTGACATGATGAAAATAGCAGTAGCCATGAGTAACTTATGGTAATCAATTATATTAAACAATTTCCTAAGTGTCAAAAACTGATTTAGTAAGTAGTTGAACTCTTTAATACAACATATCCTGATCTCCAACTCATTAGCCAAAGTATGGTGAGCCTAGCTGTGACTAAATTTAAACAGCATGGCCATCTCTCGAAGTCTGGCCTACTAAATGTTTCAGAGGAAGTTCAACAAATCGTGGTATTGGCTTGGCAAGAAAACTCTCATGTTACTGTAAGGAGTATTGGATCTAATTTGAACATGAGTAAATCAACGGTTCATAAAATTTTAAAACCCGCAAAATATCATTCCCATAAAGTAAACCTCATTCACGAGCAATGAACCGTAGTTTTTGCAACGATGACGAAGACTTTGTCAAAAACATAATTTTTTCGACGAAGGGACATTTACATTGAGTGGACAAGTAAATGACAAAATTGTCGGTATTGCGCTACCCAAAATCCAAATTAGCCAAGAAGTCCGCACACCCAATATCCGCAAAAGATTTGAGGAAACCTTAACTGGAAAGAGATGTTTAAATTTTTTCAAAGCGATGTCATTCCTTCCATCCCGATATTGTTGACACAACTCAATTTCAACGGTAGCTATTCCAACAAGATGGCGCGTCACCACACTTCAAGAAGCTTTATTAAATCAGTTTTTAACACTCAGGGAATTATTTAAAATAATTGGTTACACTCATGGCTACTGCTATTTTTATCATTATACAAATTTGAACTAATTAAACTTTAAAGTATTTTTTCTCGAAAATTTTCTTATGTAACCAATATTAATATTGACTGTACTAAATTCAGAAAAAAATAGTAGTAATAAAAATGGGGGATTGCCATTTGAAAAAAATATCGATGGCGTCATTACTCGTTTAAAAATGGCGGAAAAAATTTGAAATCTACACCAAAAAATTTAAATCTTTAGACCCGTTTCCGGGATTTTTCCATAAACCGTTTATTATGATTTTATCGCCTATATCCGTTACTTAGGGACACACTGTATATTAAGTGTAAAGCAGACTGGACCACTGCGTAAAGCTGCAAAACATTACTTGTCAACAAGAAGTAACCGATTAATATGTATTTACTAGGTGTTATACAATTGTGCTATGCATAATATAAAAAAAAATTTCTGTATAATTTTCTAAAATAAATACCTTCATGTAATTGTCCTACTTTTTTCAATGGAATAATCTTTGGTGGTGTAAATTCAAAGTCAACAGAATGTGGAGGTGACATAGGAGTACATAATGGACGTTTCACCGGTCTTTTAAAACACGCCTTTTCCAATTTCCTTTCCATTTCCATTTTAATTACTTCTTTAACCATATCATCTTTATTGAATCTTTTCACAAAATTATCTTTTACCTTTTTTAGTTTATTTGCTGGTTCACTTGTTCTTTTTGTAACCGGTTCATCCAATTTTCTTTTTAAATTTGTTACTTTTTCGTTGGCCTTTCGTATTTTCATTGGTCTAACAGGAACATCACCTCCATTAATTACAGATGGAAGTTTTATTGAAGACAATTCAATTTGGGAATTTGGTAATTCCAATTTAGATAATTCATCAGAATTATTTTGTGTTTTATGGGAAATCTCGTTAGTATCACTTTCAGAACAACCATTTCTATTACTTAATTGTGAAGAAGTACTCGGTTCAATAGATTCTTCTGTCGAAATTAATTCTAAGATTGAATTTGTTAATAATTTATTATGAATTTTTTTATTCTCAATTATTTCTTTTCTACACCTTTTGATTGCTTGATGTTTTAATTTGTTTATTCTTGGTGAATATCGTCGAGTAATCGTTTGCTTTTTGTTATCACTATCTTTAAAAGAATTTGTATCGTCATTTTCTGTACTTTTCGAAATACTTGTTGTTAAGGTTGTTATTTTATTAACTAAATCATTTTCAATTGTTTTTGTTTCAACAATTTCTTTAACAGTTTTTGAAACAGCTTCAAAGTTGTTATTATTATTAAGATTATTATTTTCAAATGAATCAGTTTGAGACAATTCTTTAAGAGATGTAGTTTCTAACGAATCAGACGATACTTTTCGCGTTGCAACGAATTCTTTTGTATCAAAACTTACATTATCATTTTCAGAACTTGAACATTTCCCAAATAATAATTCCTCTTTAGAATTATGTTTATAATTTTGTAAATATTGAATTTCTTTTATGATAGTTGATTTTTTTGTTGAATTACAAGTATTTTCTGTTTTATTGCAAATCTCATTATCACTTTCAGAACTTGAACAACCATTTTTGTTACTTAATTGTGAAGGAGTACTTAATTTGATCGATTCTTCCGTCGAAATTAATTCTAAGATTGAATTTGTTAATAATTTTTTATCAATTTTTTCATTCTCAATTATTTCTTCTCCACATTTTTTGCTTGGTTGATGTTTTAATTTGTTTATTCTTGCCGAATATCGTCGACTAATCGTTTGCTTTTTATTATCACTATCTTTAAAAGAATTTGTATCATTTCCTGTACTTTTCGAAATACTTGTTTCTAAGGTTGTTATTTCATTAACTAAATCATTTTCGATTGTTTTTGTTTCAACGATATTATTATTAAGATTGTTATTTTCAAATAAATCGCTTTGAGATAATTCTTTAAAAGATGTAGGTTCTAATGAGTCAGACGATACTTTTCGCGTTGCAACGAATTCTTTTGTATCAAAACTTACATTATCATTTTCAGAACTTAAACATTCTCCAAATAATAACTCCTCTTTAGAATTATGTTTACAATTTTCTGAAAATTGAATTTCTTCTATGATAGTTGATATAGTTTCTAACGAATCAGAAGATATTTTTCGCGTTGCAGCTAATTCTTTTGTATCAACACTTACATTATCATTTTCAGAACTTGAACAATCCCCAAATAATAATTCTTCTTTAGAATTATGTTTACAATTTTGTGAAAATTGAATTTCTTCTATGATGGTTGATTTTTTTGTTGAATTACAATTATTTTCTGTTTTATTGCAAATCTCATTATCACTTTCAGAACTTGAACAACCATTTTTGTTACTTAATTGTGAAGGAGTACCCAGTTTGATAGATTCCTCAGTCGAAATTATTTCTAAGATTGAATTTGTTAATAATTTCTTATCAATTTTTTCATTCTCAATTATTTCTTCTCCACATTTTTTGGTTGGTTGATGTTTTAATTTGTTTATTCTTACCGAATATCGTCGACTAATCGTTTGCTTTTTATTATCACTATCTTTAAAAGAATTTGTATCATCATTTTCTGTACTTTTCTGTACTAAATCATTTTCCATTGTTTTTGTTGCAACAATTTCATTAACAGTTTTTGGAACAGCTTCAAAATTGTCATTATTATTTTCAAATGAATCGCTTTGAGACAATTCTTTAAGAGATGTAGTTTCTAACGAATCAGAAGATACTTCTAATGTTGCAACTAAGTCTTTTGTATCAAAACTTACATTATCATTTTCAGAACTTGAACATTCCCCAAATAGTAACTCTTCTTTAGAATTATGTAAAAATTGATTTTCTCCTATGATAGTTGATTTTTTTTTGGTTTTTTGATTTTTAATTGAATCATCATGAACTATTTCTTTAGATGAAGCCAATTTAGATTGTAATTTATCTTGTTTAAGAATTTTAATTGATTGTATATTAATTTTCTTATCATTTTCGTTTTTAATACATTTTTCTGTTTTGCCACATTCAATATCGCTCTTTCCAAAACCTGAATCTTGTCCAGACCAACAAGATTCTTCGCCAATATTACCATTATCGTTAATTTTGTTTTCATTTCCACTCAATGAGTTATAAAAGTCGGTCATTGTATTAAATTTAGCACAAAATTTAGCGTACTCTTCTTTATTATTTACATTTAAATGTTTGTATCTTTCTAATTTTCTCATTTTTATTTTTGATTTTGACGTACAAGATACATCGGAATCAGTGCTTGATATTTCACGTAAAGCTGTCCATCTAAGCATTTCTAATTTACGTTTATTTTTAAATTGTTTCGACATTTTCTTTGATTTAGTTGAATTTGATTTATTTTCTTTATCAGTTGACTTCTTTAACATTTTTCCTACATGTTTCACTAAAGATTTAAAGACATCTTTTTTAATATTAGCAATAAATTTACGGCGATTTTCTTGCGCCAATCGCTTTAATTTTATTCTTTTATTGAAAACATTTTTTTTCTTTGGTGTTGTAGTTTCGTCTTCATTTTCAGATGAACTTAATGAACTTAAAGGTTCTGGAATCTCTTTCATTTCTTGGATACATCTCCATACATCAAGGTTTTCATCATTTAAGTCTTCCTTCTCTTCTTCTAAAGGTTCTAAAGGTACCCTAAGCAATTCATTACAATCCGTTTTTGCATCTAAATCCTTAAATTCCATGAAATCTTCTTGATGATCGCTTAAAACATCAGAGAAATTATCACCAAATAAACTTGCAACATCAACATTTTCAATCGGATTTGTATTATTATTATAAAATGATATTTCATCTGTTTGTGATGATTGATCTAATCTAGTTTTTAATTGATCATCAACTTTTGGTAATTCCAAATCACATTCACTTAATAATTCATATAAACCACCTTTTATTTCATTATTAATATGATTCTCCGGTTTTACTTTATTTTTTTCTGCTAAACAAATTTTTGTTTCATTCAACTCTAATTTTAATTCATCTATTTTATCTTTATAAATCATATCTTGTGCTTCCAAAGAAACAATTCTATCTTGGTAGATATTAATTTCACTTTTAAATTTCGTTTCCACCTTATCTAACTCCATCATATGCTCAGACATAAGGTTTTCTATTTCTGTAGTATGATGTTGTTTTAACAGTTTATATTCAGAAGAATATTTAAAGTCATTTAAATTCCTTCCATTTTTTGATTCTAACGTTTTTGTTAATTGTTCTATGTTTTGCTTCAAATTAGTGATTTGTCGCTTTAATACTCGATTATTTTCAACTTCTTCTTTACATTTATTACACTTTTTAATTGTTTTGATCGTTGTAACACCTTTTGAAGATTTGCATTCTTCTAATTCTTTACAAATATTTTGATATTTTATTGTTGAAACGTTAACATAGTCTTGATGAATCCCTTCTAATTCGGTATATTTTTCAAGAAGAGTTTTCTCATCTATGTAAGATTGGTTAGTCGTCTCTTTAAGGTTACAAATTTCTAACTCTTTTATTTGGGCCAGGTATTTTTTATAAAGAAATTTTAATTGTCGTTTTAATCGATTTATTTGAGTATTTTTGTCCGAAAGCAGCTTTATGATAGCACTATAAAAAAAAATCAAAAAAATATTAATAATTTTACAAAAATAGATTATTCACTGCCGATTAAACTTACTCTGTGTTTATTATTTTATCCTTAATAAGTAAAAGCGTCGAATCGCACATTTTTACTTAGCTTTTTAAATATAATTACATAAATACGTAAAACCGCACTCGAAACGTTTTGACGACAAAATTTTTAGGTTAAGTGACACAAACTTGTGCTCAAACTTGTTTGAAATGACAGAACAGACTGTGTATGTAGGGAAGGAGACTTACAATTTTGATCGAATGAAAGAGACACAAAATCATAGTTTGTTTATGTTAGAAAAGGACGGAGATATCTGGAAACTAGCGGGAAAACTGAGTTTGTTAAAAGAAATTGATAAATATCCATGATTAGTAATTATCAGAATAAATATAAGTTACACTCATATTTTAATCAAGATAATTAATAATTTTTATTTAGGTTCAATTAAATAAAAATATGTGAAATAACCGATCGCAGCGCCATCTTGGAACGCCAAACATTCACAAAAAATAAATCATAATTAATAGAAATTTTTATATTAAAGCGAAGAATATTTCCAAAATACATTTCTATATAAAATTCTACATTTTCTTTTGATTAAAATAAGTTTTAATTTAATATTTGAATGTAACCCGTGATCGATCACAGTTCACAGTGCCATCTATCGATCACATCCGTACTTCCATCGAGATTAGTTGAAATCAATGGAGGAGTTTCAAAAAATTTCAATGATATTGAAATTACGATTTTCGTCATATAATAACTTCCCTCGCAGTACAAAACATCTTAAAACGTGATTAAACTGGTATGTATTTTAAAATTTCATTTGGAAAGGGTGTTTAACCAAGTTAACTGATAAGGTCACTACCAATACATATAAGCTGTAAAACTATGATATAACATTATAGTTGTATGTAGGTATGTAGTTTCATGTGGGGGTGAATTCCTTCACAGCACTTAGGCCCCAGCGGGCCCTTTGTACATCCCCATAATTTATAGTTCATTCAGGGGTCAGAAAAGCAACCCAAGGTTTTAAAGAACGTTAATATACAACAGAAGGGTATGTTCTTTATGTCCGAAATTTGGGGCCATGGTACGCCAAAAATGGATTCCCTTGAGAACGCGAGGTTGGGACAGTCACAAACAATATGACTTACCGTCTCGTCTTCCATTTGACACCCTCTACAAAGGGATGTGTTCGTCAGCTTCATATAGAATATATGCTTACGTAACCTGCAATATTCGGTCAGGTTTGATTTTCCCAGGACAACTCAGTTCCTGGGAAAATCAATCTCTTCCGGTTGGGGTAAAGCAGAGTTTTCTTTGCAGAGATACCTACTGCAGTCTCATCCCATCTATCGCAAAAAGCTCAATGGGAGATGGAGTTGATGAGCTTTGATGCTGTATTAAAAGTTAGCTAACCGGCGACTTCTTAGCCGCCCGCTTATCCAGCTTGTCCGCATGATCGTGTTCCTTATTTCCGGTATGTCCACCACTTTATCGTGATATTGTTATAAACATTAGCCTCCTCAAGTGATTGCCGACAGGACTTCACTACCGGTGACGTAGTTTGATGCCTACTAAGCGCTAGCGTAGTCTGTCTGCTATCAGTGCAGATTACAACGTTTCTGCAAACTTTCTTGGTGTCGTTGATTACATTAACTGCTATATTTATAGCAGTTATTTCGGCCAGAGCAGTCGAGCAATAGAAAAGTGCAACTGGATATGTGCAAAAATATGCATATCCGATTCGATTTCAATAAGAATAGAGATAGTTGATTTAAATGATTCCCTGGACGTTGATGGTATAGATTTTGCATGGAAATAGTTGTCCAGAGTTCTTTGAGTGACAGTTCCTTTCTTTGTGGATTTCTTTATAACAAGCATAAGCATTCGATATCGTTTGCATTAACTTTTGAACTGTTTCAAAGTTACTATCATGTTTTTCAAAAACAGCCATTGCTTTATCAAGGTGTTCAAATGCTTGTAGAAGTATTTTCGTTGTTAAACCTTCCTATGGTTCAATATTATTACCTTCACTGTTGACTTCTTCTTGTGTTTCAAGGTTTAACAGATCTTCGTTAGTCAGAGATTTATCATGCGAAGCAAGGAGTTCCTTTACATCTTCTGATTTTCCTTGCAGATCTAACTCTGTTGCCATTTTTACAATATTGCCCATTATGGTGTGTTTCCAAGCATCTTGCACTATTTAATACAATCGAAACTTGATTAAATGTTGTCTTTTAAAGTTTCGCCGTTCTTTCATTATATATTTTATATAGATATACTCGGTACATAAAGTATGAGAAAGCATCTTATGATACAATCAGAAACTAGTTACTAACATTCCTTAACTCTCCAATCCTTACCTTCAGCTTTCTTAGGTTTTCTTCCATATCGTTCACAACGATGTTCGTCAACCGATCTTCTACCCACAGATCCACAGCGATCTAAGATAATTCTTGTGGTCCTTCTTATACCTGTAACGTAGGGTGAAGTAATTTAATTCATGATGGGTGTTGATGTTGTTCCGATGGGTTTTTGCTGTATAAGTATTAATCGTCAAATGTATTAATATGCAAATCTAGTATGGAGACGCAAGAATCTTGGGCGAAATTGACATTTGCGCAAAATTTAAACTAATATTGTAGCGATTGAAGTTTACTTGTTATATCACTTTAACTGTTGGATGCAGATCTAAAAATGACCATTTCTGTACCGTTTTGGTGTAGTGTCGTATATGATATTGGATAAATGGAAGGAATATATAGGTAGTTGATAAATAATAGGTAATAAATAATAAAACAACAATTTTAAAGGATTGTATGATTTTTAATACTAACAAAATTAAGGCAATTATGACAATAATATATTTTATATGTATGTTGCGTTCAAGCAAGACAGCCTCTAGTTGCGATAAGGAGTAAAGGCACTGTCCACTTGGTCTCATAATTAACTGTAGTAGTATATAAATATACCCATAAAAATCCATGTTAAATGTAAATAAATGAAAAAGAAAAAAAAACATAGTAAATACAAAATAGATATACACAAGCGAAAATACTTTGGACTTAAAAAAAAACGTGTGTTAAACCTCGATTGATTCAAGTGAGCAAAATCCAAATTAATTAACGAAAATAATAAAATAACGAAAATACCTGAGTGCTTACGAAAACGAACAAAAATCTACAATAATTAAATCTGATTTTATGATTTAATGTTATTTAATTTAATTTATTAATTAAATGATAAAATGGAAAATTAATAGTACAAGAGAACCGATTTACACAATTATAATAATAATAACACGTGACTAAAATAGACCAGTATAAGTGGAATTGAGATGTACTTATGGCTTTTAAAAACTATTTAAATTAAAATAGCGACGTGGGAAGGCAACTTTTTCGGGTACTGAGGCAAGACAATCATCCCACAATATTACAACTTATTTTAGTATTTCGCTTATCAGGTCCCTATAAATATATATATATTTTTTATACAGCTGCTGTCTCAGAGTAACCGCCGTTGCACCTTTCCCACGTTTAATATTTTTTCTTTAAATTTATTTTGAACAAATTTAATAACAGTTTACGATAAAAGAAACAAATTAATTTTTCTCTTAATTAACAATCAAAAGATGTTTATGAAAATACATTGAAATTTTCTACAATTAATAATATTAACAATTCTTTATTCTTATTTTTTTCACATTTTTTCCCTTCGTAATAATGATATTATCTTTCGTATTGTTTAACTACCTTACAATAAATTGTTTTTTTTCTCTTTCTTGCATAAAAAAAAGTATTATACCTCGATTACCGTACAAATGAAAAAAAAAAGAATTCTAATTTAATATATTTTATGTGTGTATATATAATATATTTACAATATTTTTTGGTATTTTCCGACTCTATCAAGTGCACTTAAATATAACAATTGTCTAAATGGCTTGTTTTTATTTGCATGCTGCTCCTTTCAATTTTTTTTTGTATCTCAAAAATTATTTATTGTCAATTAATACTGTGTAGAAAGTATAAAAATATTTGAGAAAATAAAAATATGAAAATATACGTTTTTTTTTTAATATAAAAACGAATATGTTATTAATTTGTTTTTGTTTGATCGTCAATACTGTTTAAATTAAAATTAATTACAATTATATTTATACTTTCACATTTTTATTTTTGGTATATTTTTTCTTTTTGATCGAATTCATTGTATTATTCCAAAAGTACGGAATGTTGTGTACTACTTTTGAAATGAACAGGGTGTTTTAAATTCCAGTGTCATTATTAGGATTTAAGAAATTGTAAGAGATACAAGGAAAGTTCTTTATTATCTTTTTTCTTAAAATAACCGAGATATTTTTGTAATGGGTATAAGTATAGTTGGATTTATTTATTTAATAAATTTTAACAATAATCTTTTAACCTCTTTAGCAAGAAGGAAGAACAAGCCGAGTTTATCACAAACATTAAAAAAACAATTTAATTATAGCACCTTAAACGCGAACTAAATCTGTCAGTTATCGTCAAATCATAATTTTGAAGAAATGAAAGGAAGAATTAATTTGGAGAACTTTTTGGTAACATTTTTGATTGAGAGGAAACTGCACAAATCGTTATCAATGACTTTTGTGAATATATTTCTAGAAAATGAACAATAATGAAATAACTTAATCTTCGTAGTTTGGCTGTTGATCGGCAGAAGCTTGTTTTTGCAAATTGAGTCTGAGTACGTTGAAAACTTCCATAGTACATAACTACAAAAAATCCTGCTAACAGTAGTGAATTAAAAGTTTCAAAGAGCAAAGAGGAAAAGAGGAAAAAAAGAGCTATGATGTTATCGTCATTCAATAATAATGAAGTGTTAACACAAATAAATGTTGTAACCGAAATATCAAAGATAGAGGGAATATATTGTGTTAAACAGTTCGACTGAAGTGGAGCTATCAAAATTTAGACGATTCAGTTAGGATTCTGGAATTAGGATTGAGATAAGTTGAAAATTTTTAGAAATAGCTGGTTGGTAACAACAACATTTTATCTTCTTTGAAGTTATTTTGCTCATTTAAAGAAAAGAGTTTTGTACATTGCAATAATTTGAGAAAATTTGACAATGAACAATTAATGTTGTTAACAGTGGGATTAAAGCTGTACTACCAAAATCTTACATAGCAGCAAAATTTTATAGGAATGGATGAAATAGTAGATGACATTGTCGACGAAGCCAGAGCATGATCAAATGACCAAGTTCATTAATCTTTGTGACAATTCATTAATGGATACAAAGACGCATTGTTCTAGTAATTTTGATTTGATAAAGTCGATTGACATGATACTAGAAGAGGAAGGTAAAGCAACAAGAAAAGCTAATGGATAATGTAACAACAACAAAGAAATTTCGACAAATTTTTCTCTAACGTCCGTAAATTAAAGAATGCGATCATGGCAAATGTGGTGACAAAATCTCTAACAATGATTTGATCTGGTATAAATTCACGCAAACTTAGAAAATGAGCTAAGAGTGGAAGATAAAAATGTTAAAAGTTCTTTGTAGGACTCCTAACACCCTTTCTAAAATTTGATGACAGAACAACAATAATAGAACGAAAGAAAATTTTGCACACATACATTTTATACATGTATAGTCAAAGTTAAATATAAACGGCATAAAATTTATAATGTAGAATGAAGCACCCACATGGTTTATGGTAAATACAATACCATATGTAGGAAAAGTTAGATGGAAAATGGTATATAGATGCCTTTATACTATGTCAGAAAGTTTTTCACAAAACTTCATGTCATAATTGGTGTCCTTTCTTCTATCGTTTGATACAGCATTGATTAAATATACCCAACTCTACCATTATTCAAATACTACAGTCAGAGATTACAAAACTTGAGATTGCAAGATAAACACGTTGATGGTAATAAAACAAATAATTAAGGAAACAAGGCCAGAAAACTAAAAAAACGCTGTAAGCACTATGAACTACCTATGCATGAAGAATATAGATGATCACATTACTAAAGCTAATGATAAGTAACAAATTTGCTAATAGTATTAATGTTTGTTCGTTATTTGGTCTTACTCAGAATCTTACACTTAGTTTTGAACCAAAAATATCACCAAATATTAAAGTAGGGAAAGATTAATTAACTCTTTTATTAGGTGAAAATACAAACGGATTTCAAATTAAAGCCACTCTAAGTCTATCATTCAAATATTGCAAGGTAGTCTTGCTGAAATTCTACGTTGTACAAATGACTTACTGAAAAAAATTTAACATATGGGTGCTGTATAGCAAGATGATTTGATTCAAGGGATAAATAAGAAGACTCCTCAAATTTAGTCAAACAGAATTGAGGCAGAAATCCAGAAAGATACTTAAAGAAACTTACTTAATTCAAAACGAATAGCTAAAGAGGTCAAAATATCTGATAATTCTTAAAATATATTGATTAACTTCCTGATTTTTATAATCAGAGTAAATTAAGAGTATGCAGAAAGTCCAAATCAAACAAGTTGAATTGGGTTGAACTGTAATTATCAATACTGTAGACAAGCCACTAACCCCATTTCGAACCTTAATTATATAATTGATAACTGATTTAAGTCTGTGGTAATGTTTAACATCATATTTCTCGATTATAAGGAAACGCTGATAGAGGTTATGAGCAATAACAAAATCTTTAATCACTACAAGATGTAAAGCGCGAAAAATTAGAAAAACGTTATTATGCCTTTAACTTTGGATTGAGTTATACATATTTAGGTTGGCATTTTTTTCTGGGAGTTTGGTGACAATTTACTGATTATGTACAGTTTGAATATAGAAAATCTCTGGTTGTGACGAAGAAAATATTTGGAGCAAAAAACTTGATTGAATCCTGGTTGTATGAACAATTACTAGTACCACTTTGAAAATTGATAAAAGTTAGAATTGATGAAATATTGCAGCTCCCTATTAGGGATGAACAGTAAGAAGAACATAAATCAAAGAGAAAGCAGCGTTGTGGTGTTACTGCAAAAAATTTGACCACTATGCTATAGAGCACATTAATTATGCATGCTAAATCGAAAGAATCTATTTAAGGTGTATCAAAGAAAGTGTGGTCGAAATAGATACTGTATCGGAAATCGTAAATATATTAAATTGAGTAGAGATCTAGAAAGTAAAAATGCTGCACTGTAAGTGAGATGGAAGAATCTAAATAAAAACGTAGTGGGATTTTGAAACAAAAAAAGTAACAATTACAAAAATACCAGTTTATTAGTTATAATCCTAATTTCAATAGAAGTAGAACTAGATGTGGAGTTAAAGATGAAATAAATATAACCAATTGGTTTTGGAGCGAAGATGAAGACGCCGAATTAAATTAAATAGTTTTAAATTAAATTAGTGATCATTTAGAAACTTTTTTCCTCGTTTTCCTGTACACATTTTGATTTGAAATTCCACGATTGCATTTCGACGATTTGTCTTGCATTACATTTTATGTTCATGGTCTAAAATTTGTCGATGAATAGTAAGGGATTATCGTTGATTGTACTATTAGGCAGTGATAATAGCTCATAATGAATTCAAAGAGGCATGAGTTAATCATGAACCAGTAGTATAGAGTCAAATGGAATCAGAGTATTCATTATACACACTGAAAAAATGGAATTAATCCACAAATAACGATTGCACCCGAGCTGCATTGACAATTAGTTGATGATCACATCAATGCAGCTTATGCAGATGTACAGTTTTGAATGTCTTATTTTGGTGTATTTAAAGTTACTTAATTTTTTGGTGCAAGTCGCTGCGTTTTTTACTGATGGAGCTGCGTAGATACAAAAATGTTGAATCTTGTATTTATTAATATAATTTAACATCAAGCATTGTTAAGTTTATTGTCATTTACTTTTCTTTGAGAAAAAGATAATAAGCTTTACTATTTTAATATTGCTTCGGTAGTCCAGATATTTATCTACATGAATCCAACTTACTCAAGAAATTTTAATATAAAATTTTAACATTTTAATCTTTTAGCTTTAAAGATAATAATTTTTAAATTCAACAATATTATCTTATTAATAATTTAATTTTTTTAATCGAATTTCAAATATTCTAAACAAAAGCTTTGTTAAAAGCTGTTTTAAGTCATAAAAAATTATATTTCCTCTTTGTATCTCTTACATTCTCTTCATCTTAAATGATGAGTGCGGAATCGAAAACATCCCTGTAATAATATTAAAATATTTTTAAGTAATATCCCGGGTAGGGAGCAGATACGTTTCAACAGCCTTCACATGGAACAACAGGGTAACTGTGACCGTTTCAAGAACAAAATTAGGTTTAAATTAAAAAAAATTCAAATGTTCATTTTAAAATCTTATCACAATCATGAACAACTATCAGATTTGGTATCCGATTACCAAAGAAAAATTAATAATTATAACGAAATAAGTCAACTAAGCGTTGACAATTTAATAATTATACGGTTCCTTAAATCTGATAGCAGTAACACGCGATCACAGGTCACAATAAACAAAAAAAATTAATAAAAAATAAAAATAAATACTTAATTATACTTAAGAACAGAGATTAATGTTTTTGCGACTTTTACTCGCGATTGTTTTCTTTCTAATTTTACTTTGTGGGTATTCTTCCAAAAAATCGCTAGAGGATTCAATTAATTTTCTTTTACGGTTGGGTGTAGGTGGACATAAAGGATCGATATCGATTTCTTGTCTTTGTTGTCTACGTAATTGTTGGTTTCTAATTCGTTCACTTTGCCGCGTTTTTTCATAGGTTTTTCTTGATCTCTTACGTTTAACTTGTTGTTCTTCGAGAGGTTGTACATTAACTTCAATGGATACATTAGACCTACTATTAACAGGACTTGTACTTGTTGATCTAATAAAGTCTTGTACATCCTCTTCCGCGAATGTGAATACGTTATTTTCAGTAGAACTTTTTGAATTTGATTTAATGGCGGACTTTGGTTTATTTGGTGTACTTGGAGTCGACTTCATGGAACCATCACTTGCGATACTTGAAGAGGAACTATTATTATCCGAAGAGCTCTTTTTCAAACGTCTTCTTTGTGCTAGTTTAGCACTAGACACATCTTGCAATCGAAAACCTTCTTTTTGGGCTCGATGAAAAGCGTTAAAGGTCGTTTGTAAATTTCTTTCGGCTGATCCACTTGATCCAAGAACGTCGGGTGTCATTAGTGGTGTTTGGGGGAAACGTTGATTTCCTTGTACCCAAGAGTTATTTCTTAAATCGATCATACGTAATCTTTGCATTGGATTGACCGTTAATAATCCAAGAACGACAGCTTTTGCTTCTTCACTAACACCATTCCAAGCGCTCGATGAAAAACTGAAATCGCCACCTTTTATTCTTGCCATTACGGCAGCGGCGCTATCATCTCTTGATCGAGCATGAAAAGGAGCTCTACCGCATAACATCGTGTAGAGGATCACCCCTAAACTCCATAAATCGCAAGTTTCATCATATCCGGACGGATCACCGTTTAAAACTTCCGGCGCCGCGTAATGTAGAGTAAAACAAGGTGTGTGCATAGGTTCTTTTTCTTTTTTAAGCCTAGCAAAACCAAAATCGACGACTTTTATCTCGGCGTTTTCATCGTTCGACGTGAACAATAAATTTTCCGGTTTGAGATCTCTATGGACGACTCCGTGCGTATGCATGAAGCTAACGGCGGAAACTAGTTTTCGTAAAATACCGGACGCTTCGGATTCGGTAAATTTCGACTTTTTTCTTATCCTATCTAAAAGTTCGCCGCCCCTTAAAAATTCTAATATTAAATAAGTATGGGCGTCGTCGATGATCACATCGTGTAAATTGACTATGTTATCATGCCCTTGACAGGCTCGAAGTAAATTGATCTCTTGTGTACAATCAGTTTTCCTACTAACGATTTTAACAGCGTATTCTTTGTCGGTTTTCTTACATACGCATCGTCTACAAACTGAGAATGAACCGTCGCCCAAGATTTCCTCGTTTAAATCAATATCGTATTGTTGAAAAAATGGTGAGTCATTGATTTGGCACTGTACTAAAGTGGAAGTAACGTCCGGTCGTTCCACTGGTTTTAATAATTCGTCCGAAATAACATTACGCGTAAAAAGCACTGACGGAGCAACATAAGAATAACCTTTAAAAATTTTATCATAATTCGGTGGTACAACCGCCGGCGAATCCGTAGGTTGCATTTGAGTGAATTCCTCGCTAAAATTTGAAACGTCCAATTCACATCTAATAACTGGTTTAAACGGTGCTGGTATTTCTTTTCTCGACAATGCTTTCCAGTCCATGTATCTGAAGAAGGGATGTCGTTTCAGTTCTTTGGCATCCTCTCCTCCACCGCCGAGTCTTTGTCTTGGATCTCTGACAAGAAGTCTACTTATGAAGTCGGCTACTTCTTTTCCTAGAGCTGATAAATAAGCTGGGTTAGTTATAATATATTTGATGAGTATGATGTTTTATACTTACAGCTTGGTATTGGCGGGGTCGTTTTTAAGATTCTTCTTGAAATTTCTTGTTGGGTGTTCTTTTCACCTTCTACTGTAAACGGGGAAGCCCCTGTTAGAAGTTCGTAAGTTAAGACTCCAACCGACCACCAATCTACAGCCTAAAATTAATAAAATAAAGTTTTGTTATTAAGTGCTTAATTATTTTATTTGCCTATAACTAAATTGTATTTTTTTTTGAGTCCGACCGATTTTTGTTTAATCAACCCATCTTCAGGAGCGCGTCATTATTAAGAGTGAGACGAGTGTGCGATTTTGAAAAGTGGTAATGGGTTCTAGATGTGTGGAGGTTCAGGTCAGCAAAAAATTAAAACATTATTTTATAGGTTCGTTTGAATTTAGTATTTTCATAACAATCATATACAGGGTGATTCAGGTTTTAATCGGGAAGCTACGTCCTATGTAGTACTTGTCAAACTGGGAGCTAAGTAACTTGTGGCCCTTAGTTTTTGCAACCTCGATTAAACGTGACTTTGTTTTTGAATCTTTTGCAAAATACACATAAAATTCACAAAATAAATTATTTGCCTATAACTAAATTGTATTTTTTTTTAGTTCGACCGATTTTTGTTTAATCAACCCATCTTCAGGAGCGCGTCATTATTAAGAATGAGACGAGTTTGCGATTTTTAAAAGTGTTAATGGCTTCTAGATGTGTGGAGGTTCAGGTAAGTAAAAAGTTAAAACATTATTTTATAGGTCCGTTTAAATTTAGTGTTTTCATAATAATCATATACAGGGTGATTCAGGTTTTAATCGGGAAGCTTTAATAGGACGTAGTACTTGTCAAACTGGGAGTTATCAATAATCTCTGACTTGTGGGCCTTAGTTTTTGCAACCTCGTTTAAACGCCACTTTGTTTTTGATTTTTTTGCAAAATAGACTTAAAATTCACAAAATAAAATTTGATTGAATGGTTTACGTCATAAATTAATTTCAATGTTGAATATGATGTGTTTATTTTTTGAGTGATATGAACCTTAAATCTGATAAAGTCCCAAGTTGAGAAAATAATGTCTGATAATAAATAACTTTTTATCAATATCGAAACCGAAATGAGGAGAATGTAGATATGCTCTCTCACAAAAAAAAACATTAAACTCGATTTGACATATTATTTATTAGGATAGGATACAATGTTGCATATTTCCATTTGAAATCGTTTGAGATAACGGCTTAGCACCCGTGCTCAACCCAACAAAACCTAAGGCAATAATAAGAAATTATGGACGGTGTTAAAAGTATTGGAGTAGTTTAGCAAAACTAACATGATAGCATCATTTGCACCAGTTGCAAGAAGCATATCATCAGTAATATTAAAATTGTTCTACAATTATTGTTTTGAAGACACCTAAAGGAGTTTAGTATAAGTGTCCATAAATTTGCTAATTTGCCAGTTCATAATTTTTAACAGTAAAACATTATTAATTATGGTAATGCAGACACAAAATATCTTAGATTTTTTTATATTTTTATACTTTTTTCAAAGTATAAAACTAAATAAATATCATTAATTTCATAAATTAATTATGGCAGTGTTGATTCTAGATCTCTATTAAACAAGTCAATATGTTGAACTTAAATTGTGATGACTTTGCTATCGTCTTCAGCATTCTCACGAATTACCCTTGGTAATCCATCTGGTATTGCTATTTAGGTACCAATCTCGTAAATTGTTATAACCGTGTCACGGCAAAAACGTTTTGATCCAAACCATAATTTAAACGTTTCGAACCGGCAATCATAAACAATCGCAAATTGCACAAACAATAGTACGGGTTTTAAAGTGTGGAGTAACAATTCTCTTTTAACGACTACACGAGCGCGCGCACGTATTTAGAACGCGCTTGAAAGAATGTCAAAGTCGACATACGATGTCCTTGCGCCCGGCGAAATTTGAGGAAGAAAACGAAAGTGAGTTTTTAATAGATCCAGGCAACGCGAAAGTAGCTAAACGATTGCGGAGGCGTTTCGCAAGCGAACGGCTGCCTGCCTGCCTGCTGCCAACTTAACCGCTATCAATCGCTGACATACTTTTTCCCGTTTCGACCTAGTTTAACAAATTGAATATTGTGTATAAATTCTTTACCACATCAATCTTTTCCATCTATCAATATTTACAATCAAGAACAGCAAAACATAAAAAAGTGAGATTTTATTGCCTAATAAAAAGAAAAAAAGATGTTGAAGAATTATTGTGACCAATTAACACTTATAGCGTTTGTTTGGCATAGTATTCCAAAAAATTTAATTTTATACACGTTTTGCATTTAGCCTTGTCGTTCTGCCAAATTTTTACTCTATGTTTAGAGTAATACAAAAAACATAATGATCCAGTTAAAATGAAATTATTTATTTAAATTTCTTTTTTTCAATTTAGCAAAATTCCAGGATTTAGAAAATCGTGACAAATGATCATACACAACATGTTATTTGTATGCCAAAATGAACAAAAAAAGAGTGACATCAAGGTAATATTCCCAAAAGTGTTCAAGGCGAATCGTAATTTGTGCTATTCACGTTTTAATTAATAATAGTCAGTCGAAAAGAATTTCCTGGAAACAATTTGCGAAGTGTTAATTTATTAAGCATTTTTTAAGTTCGGAAATTTTTGGTTTGATCGATTCTTTTTGATACAAATTTTGCAATTCACTCTTATGGTCCGGAAAATATATACATTATCGATGAACATCCCGTAAAAACGACGAGTTACTACGTGACAAGTATACCATATTGTAGCAAAAAGTACAGTTACGTTAGCTGCTTGATATTGATGAACAATGTACGAGGTTGTTTCCTGGCCGCGTTTATCGTTAATTACTCACGTTATTACATCGATAAATAAACGCTAAGAAACATTAATAAGTCGTACGAGGCAAATTAAAATAGCAATAACATCTTTTTTTTTCGACATTTCGATTTAACGAGAGTATGTACATATTTGTTTAACACTAAAATATCTGTGTCACGGCGAGAACTGTTTTTTTTGTGTTGTGACCGTGTGCCCGTAATTTCTCGGTTGCAAGGAATTTAGCAATTCATAACCAGTATTACACAAATAAATAATGCAAATAAATATCGAGGTTAAAAACAAATTAGAAAAAAAGTTAAACAAAATTGTTGAGTACTTCAAGTTTCTTTGATTACTTAAATACATCATATTCCATTCATACAGAAGAAATTATGACATTTTTATTGCCGTAACAGGTGTGACATTTCTTAATGTCTTACATTATTGTATAATGTAAAATTTGTTATTACGCTTGTTTAGTTTTATTACAGGTAATAGTAGGTAATTATATACTTTATTGTAATAATTCATTCATTCTCTGCTTTTATTATTGAATTTGTAACGAGGGTGACATTGTAACGTAACGCAATTTTTTAAATAAACATATTAATTGGTACAAGTCAGATAGGAATGCAATGTGATGACTTGAATTTTATATAAACTTGCTAGCACAAGAAGAGAGCGTGAATTGTCATATGTAAATAAATGCAAGTGAGCACAATAAAGTAACGTGATAAATATCGAGATTAAATACGTATATAACACATTTTGTAATCTTCGGAGCTTATTACGCAGTCAAATCGATAAATCAATAAACACAGAATCAGCATAATCAAAGCGATTCCATTATTTAAATTGCAAAATGAAAAAAAATGCGTCGAACAAAGAACAAAATATCTTAAACACATATAAGTTGGATTTGAGGTACCAATAACATCCATAAAGTGCAATAAGCACAACGTCAACTCTAGCAATGGATGTTCTGTTTGGCCTATCTTCTATGCATTTGCACATAGAGAAAGTGGCTAGAACTACCTATGTACCCTGGTACTATTTACAGGTTTAAACAATATGCTCAAAACTGCTCCGACATGTCCTACCTATGGGCGACAGATGAGCTAGCACGAGAGGGCAACCCAAAACGTTTATGGGACCAGAGCTAGAAGTTGGTATATCATTTGCGATGGCCAAACATAGGATTGGACTGTGGACTGAAGAGAGACTTCGATTACTGTGGACCAGTGCTCCTGGAATGACATCGCCACTGTGAAACCTGGGAATATTTTAGGACTTGCTCGTAGCAATGTTAAAGTTCTAATGGGTGTCTTTACTGGGCACTGCCAATTAAAGATACACTTGTTGGGATTAGCCGACGATGTTGAATGCCAACTATGTGCGGAGGAGGAGGAGACGGTTGAGCATGTTTTATGCCATTGCCTGCGTTATGCCACTGTTAGTCCTATCAGTTTCTCGATTTTTGGGTCGCAGTTTATCTCCCCAAAGGATCTGAATGACTTTTCACAGAGCAAGACATTAATGTTCGTTAAGAGCATTAGACTGCACGGTGGAATTTGATAATGTTATCTATCGGGGTACAATAGAACTATGAGGTCGCAGTGCAAGTGTCTACTCAAAATTTTAAAATTGATACATAAAAATGTTTTGATGATTTTCAAGATTTCTTGCATAATATTAAGAAGTAAGATTTATCTAAAAAAAGTTATATACGTTATTAAATAAATAAAAAATATAATTGAACTATGAAATGTGTTGTACAAGAATGACCGAGTTACGAATGCCTTAAGCAAGATGTCGTTCTACATAAAATGTAACCAATAAATCAGGCTATCTCAAACACACCTAAAAAGATTAGCAACTTTGATTAATCAACTTCATTACACAAAATGTTAAACTAGATTCTTTTAACGACCTTCTACATTGTGTTTTGTATGTTGTAGTCTGTGTTGTGGCCCTGACGAAATTTAGATTGCTTATCAATTATTAAGTGACATTTTCGAAGATAGTTGTAAATTTGGGCGTCCACAACGTGCATAAAAACTTTTGATAAATAATTTCACATCTATGTTTCGAAATTTAAACTCTCCGATGTTTCAATGTTGCATGAAACGTCCACATCAGTTCCGCGATTAAAGTGAGGAGAGAAGTTCGAAATTAACTCTTTGTTTTATTGATTTTCCCGTCGCACCAATGTATAGTATACAACAAGTGTCAGATTCCTGGTTTGTAAACACTGCTGTGATTCAGATAGTTTATGCGACTTTTTGTACTCTATTGATTAATTCGATATTT